GAGAGCACTTGATATGCTACACACCTATGGAAGGGACCCAGGAGGAGGAGTCCTCCATGGTGTCAAAGGCTTCCCTATGGTCCAGGATAGTGAGGCGGGAGAAAGCTTCATCAGCAGAAGAGAAGCCATACTCACTGTAATGTGGCTTCCAGGCTCTGGCCAGAGTGAGAATAGCCCACCAGAAAGGTGGTTGGAGAGCTGAGCTGGAGCAACGCTCTCTAGTGCTCTACTAAGAAAGGAGAGGGTGGCTGGTGACAGATGTAAAAGAACTGGGGCAGGAACGGATAAAGGAGCTAACCTACAGAGAAGGTCTGGAGAGCACGTAGACCTGTGGCAACAGAAGGAGTGGAAGGGGAGTAGACAGGAAGGTGTTGGGCATGGGGGCAACATTCTAACGAACCAAGGCCAGCTGTCATGCAAGTGCAGGTCTGAAGCATTTGCCTGTGGATGTGTGTGTGTGACCCTTTAATATCCTGCCAGCTGGACCATGGCTAGTGGTTCACCTCTAACTTCAGCCACCAAACACCTCAATGAACTCTGCTGGTGCCGGGGCAAGGCAACCCTTATACCATATATCCAGATCAGAGACATGGGGGGGGATAGAACCACAATTTTTCCAAATCCCCATTGGTTTCAATGGGAGTTCTGTCGGTGGGAACGCGAGACCTTGGCCATAAATGGATGTGGCAATCACAGTTATTCGGTGTGTTAGCATTTAGCATCCCATAATCAAAAGGGGGTGACAAGGGGCTTCAAACCTCTAACCGCTGGAGTGAGCCAAACTTTACTGTCAGTTACACCCTGGATTGCAGTGCACTTGCATCACTGTACCTGGGAATGTGGGCTAGTAGGTATAATAAGGAGGAGGAGGAAAAGGTGGAAATTAAACAAAGGAAACTTTGTAATAGTGAGATGCTTCAGACTCTTATATGAAGTGGTGGGAACCCCATCAGAGTAATTTCTAACTGGACAAAATGGGTCTTGTATCTGCATTACAGATGAGGAAACTGAGATGGCATGATTTGCCTGATGTGATAAATGAGAATGGAACCCAGGAGTCTTAACTCCCAGGCCCCTCTGCACTAGATAGCACTAGATATTTCAGCCCTGGCCCAGAACGTGCAACTAACCCTGAACTGCGGGGCTGTGGGTCATGCCTGTATTAAGTGGTGCTCCAGGTTCTTTCTATACAAGAGAAGCCTGCATGAGTGTGTGTTGTGCAAAATAATGCAATGGGGGGGCCCAGTGGCACTCCCAGGTGTAAATCCAGAGCAACTCCTTTGAGATGCTGCACTGGTATATTGGAGAGCCCAGCCTGTCCCTCGCAGGAAGAGGGATCCAAGGTCTGGGCTCGTGTACGTGAGGGCATGTCCGGCTGTGATTATGGAGCTCCACTGGGCATTTGTGACTGGGCATCCCCTGCTGCCCTCTGGGAATCCTGTCATCTCTCCCTGACACGGAGTCTGAGCAGGGTGGTCCTGGCCCTGAGTCCCAGCTTCAGCTGATCCGAGACATTACGTCATTCCCTTGTGTCTCTCTAGGGGCGGGGGGAGGGGAGGATTGGATGTTTTAGGCTCAGGTGCAGGAGTGTTAGTAAAAAGCTCATTTTTATGCAAAAGATTCCCTTTAAATCTGTCATTATTATTCATGATACTAGCAGACTAACAGAGTGGAGTTAACCCTTTCGTGGATGGGTCTCTTGTGTTACTCCTACGTGATCCATCCTTACCCACAGGGTGAGCTTTCCCCAACAGTGCACTGATTACAAATCAGATTAAGTGGCTTTTTTTTTTTTTTTTATTTTAGTTGCCCTGGCCCAGACTCAACCCCTCCCCCCTTCAAATCCTGACCACAATGCCACTCACTTCTCTGGCCTCCCGCTGGGAGGTGTCATCCAAATATGCTGATTGTTCCAACCTCACAGTTGTGTGCATGTGGGAGGGGGGGCATGGGTGGGGGGAAACAGCTGAAATGCTGAATAGCTTTGCAAGGAAAAAGCATCTATTTACATCTAGAGAAAGGATAGCATTAGAGCCTATGCATGAGCCTGTAGAAACATCGAACTACACCTAGCGTGGGGAGGAGGGGGAGGGCTGGGGGGACAGGGCGGACTCGACCCAGTAATGGGCAGTGCTTTTGTAATGGAAAGCTGGTTGCAGCCTAGCATCTTGGTGGCAGTCAAACTACTTTCCAATAGAAGTGACACGAGAAGCTGCTCCAACCAGGGAAGAAGGATGGTCTGCTAAAGACCTGCCTTGAAGTCCTGGTTCCAACCCACTTGAAGTGACTTGGCCCAGGCCACACATCTGGGAGGTTCTGCATTTTTGGGATTTACCTATTTTTCTCGGAAAAATTCCCAGGTTTTGGTGGCGGGGGGGGGGGGGAGGGGAGGGGGGCAGGAAAATCAGTATTGGGGATTTACCAATTTTCACCTGAATTTTGGGTGAGCCAGGACCCAGCTTCCCCCTTGCAGAGTCCCCACAGCTGCTGTGAAGTGGGGGAGCTAGATGGGCAAGGAGCCAGCTCCCAGCAGCCCAGACCTCCTGACTGCTGCAGCAACAGACCCACAGGGAGCACTCTCCTGCTACCCCATGAGCACCAGGCATGCTCCCCACCCACTGCCCCCCAGTGAGTACTTGGCTCCCCACCCCTTTTTAAAAAAAACCCAGCAATTTTCACCCATATTTAAAGTTTTGGAATAAACACTGAGAAATTCCCAGGAAATATTTCACAAAATCAAAACAAAAGACAAGGGCCTTACACAGCTGTACTGTGCTGTGCCTTGGTTCCTCATCTATACATGGGGGAGAATACCTCTGTGACAAGGCAACCCCTCCCCAGGGCACCCTCCAAAGTCAGGTCATGGCACAACAGGTGCATCTGCCTCAGTTTCCCCATGCTCCAACCATAAAAAGGAACACAGTCTACTACTGTCCGATACAAAGTCCCATCTTTGGGCATAATTGATGTAGAGGTACAATTGTCCATAGAACCGCCATGGTAAAACTGTTCTCCCACTTCCCACAGTAAAACATACAAAGGTAGTGAGATTTTTCCATTCTTCCCCTAGGGATCTCACTTCCAGGTCACCCACCAGCACTTGGTTCCCTCCCAGTCCCTTTCTGCCCTTGTTCCAGAGCCCCACTCTCTAGACCATCCACGTGAAAATCACCAGTCTCGTGACTTAGACCCAAACACCAGCCAGTGATTCAGCCCTTTTCAGCCTCCCCTCATTGGCTCTCCAGCTCAGGAAGGTCAGCAGGCTAGCCCCTTTCCTGACACGCTCAGGTAGCTCTCACCTGCCCCTTTCCTTGCTCTTTCGCTGTGTGCTCACAGGCAGCTGGGGGACTCTCCAGGTCTCTCTCCTTCCCTCTAGGTCCCAGCCAGGCATCCTTTTAAGCCCAGTTGAGGGTTGGCTTCTCAGTCACAGGTGAGCTGTCCTCTTCCTTCTTAAAGAGCCAGTGTCACCCTGCGACAGCCTCTTTATTTCACAGGGACAACATCCATTAAAGTGTGAAGAGCTCAGATACTATGGTGAAGAGGGCCAGATAGAGAACATTGAATATTTCTGCAACAGCAATACAGATAGACAGACCACTATAAAGAATGGGAAGTGAATTCTGCTACATAAATATCTTCGGGCACAATAGCCCGGTGTGGCCAAATTAACTGTAAGCACAACAGACATATTGCAAGGAAATGTTACCCCGTTGGAAACAGAGGGAAGCTTTGTACCATTTTGGTTGCTATCCCACGATGGAACAAAATCAAAGCCATCCCTCTTGCATCTCGACAGGTGTCTTATGTAGCTGTCTCCATATTGTTCATGGCAACATGTGAATGCAAGGGATGCATGGATAGTACATGTGCGCGTCTCCCATGTGCACAGCCCAGAAAAATTAGTGCGAAACAAGCCAGAAGAGTAAGGGTTTGATTCAGTCCAAAACCTTCTGGCGGATCAAATTCCCAGCCCCACTTAGAAATTAAAGACTCATTCACCCGATAAGCCATGACTGAGCTGGCAAATATTGTAGTAGTGAGCATGGTAGCCCAGTTCAGGTGTAGGGTTTAGAATTGCATTGCGACGGGGTCCTGCAGTGCCAGCTGAGATGATGCACTGGAAACAGAGGGAGCGCACTGTACACGCAGGAACCTACAGTGAGGACTGTGCTGTAGTCACCTGCAGCTTGCTGCAGACAGGATCGCTGGCTCTGACCTTTCTTCCTCCAGCAGCTCTGCCTTCTGTTGCACTGGCGTCATTGGCTCCTGGCCTGCTGGGACTCTGACAGACAGAAATAACCCAATGATGTCATACAGTTTGGTGGCAGAGTAGGGAGGGCAGAGAGGAGGCTGTGTCCAGTGGGACCTCTCGTCCACTGCAGGGGAGTTGCAGGTGCTTTGATTCAGAGAAGCATATGCTGCCCAAGTGGAGGAACAGGGGCATCAATACATCTCTCCTCCCCCGAGCGCGTGTGTGAACAAACACCGGCGCAATCAATCCAGGAAGAAAAGCAGTGAAGCAGCACAGCTGGCCCCAGGGGATGTGCAGAGTGAAGGGCTCCTCACAAGAGCCTTCTCGTGAAACCAGCTGTCATCTCGGGTTCCACTACAGACAGCACATCCATGCACCTTCCTGTGCACCCGGTGACGGGATCATTGTGCAGCTCATGTTAGCTGACAATTCTCTTTACGCATCATCCCCCTTCCCCCACCACAAGCCCCGATCTCTGTCGGTGACAGGCCATCCAAACCATCCTTACACTGCTGCCATCCATAACTCGGTGTTGGTGGATCTCTGCTGTGCGGTGGCAGCTCTGTATTGGAGGGGATCCTTCTACAGCTGGTGGGGCTCCTATCTCCTTGGGGTATCTGGTGTGTCTAGGATGGGCCCTCTCCTCCGGCCAAGGGCAACTCCTTGGGTGCTGGTTCTGTTCTCGGGTGGTTCCTGGCATGTCCAGAGGAACGGAGTGGTGGCTGATGTGCACTTGTGCTCTTTCTAGTTCTCCAAGGAGAAGTACATCCTTGACTCTTCACCGGAGAAGCTTCATAAAGAGCTGGAGGAGGAGCTGAAACTGAGCAGCACGGACCTGCGCAGCCATGTGTGGTACCACGGGCGCATCCCCCGAGAGGTGAGGGGGAGCTGGGTTGCTGCTGGAAGCCCCTAGCCTTGGCTGCCTGCCCTGGAGAATCGGGCTGGCCTCAAGCACTAGCGCAGCAAGAGACACCCTAAGGCCCATCTCCGCAGTGGGGCTTTGAACTCAACACCTTGCCCATTCTGCCACTGGCAGCAGGACTGTAAGGAGAGGGCAGGACGCTCTTGCCCCCTGCACTGGGACACCTCATGGCTGGATTTCCCCTTCAGGCAGCCTTGGGATATGATCTTGGTTGGGGCTGAGAAGAGAGACAGAGACCTATAGAGTGACAGGAAGAGGTGGAGAGAGAGGGAGCAGGCTGGTCTCACATGAGCCCACTCCACTGGGAAAGGGTCGCTGGCCAGTCTGCATTGCCTCCGTGGATCTGTGCTGCAGGGAGCACTGCCTGGCCATGTGGTCATGGGACCATTCTGAGCAGCACTTGGGGGCACAAGCAGTTCCCTTGAACCCTGATGATACAAATACCCCCACCCTGTTAAGGGTCCCCTCAGCTCCTCTCCATTCACTTGAGCGGCCGTGGAACCAGCCTCTCTCCCCCCCCCCCCCCCAATAGTCTTTAGATCTAGCTTGGGGCAGATGAATGCTTGGAGGAGGAACTCAAGTGCCCCACAAGACAATCCTGCTCTGTTCTGGGGTGGGCACAAAGGGACGTGGGTGTTGCAACACTCGGCATTGGCCTAACTTTTAGGCGCCTAGAAAAAAAAAATGGCAGAAAGGACAGTGATCCACAAGTTTGGCGCTGAGGCTCCCTGTGCAGTAACCAGGGGAGAGAGACACCTTACAATGCCATTCATAAAAGCCAGCATGCTAGGCAGGGAGCCATCTGAGCTCACCAATGGGAGATCCCGACCAGGGGGATGTATGCTAAGCCCCGCCCCTCTGTCAAAGATAGGCGCCTATGTCAGGGCTGAAGGGAACACTTGTCCATGCTGGTGATCCACAAATGGGAACCCACCACCTGGAGCCGGACGGCTTCAGCACCTAAGTGGTTTCTTGCAGGAATGAATTAGGCGCCTCCCTTGCTCCACATGCAAATGGCTGGAGGAGGAGCCGCCACCCTCCTTATAACTTTTAGCCCAGAGCAGAGAGTGATTGGAGCAGGGGGATGGGCCTTGGGTCTCCCACCTCCCAGGTAGGTGCCTGGGCTCTAGAGTCAGCCTCTCTCTGGCTCAAGGACTGTTTCAGTCAGACTCTGTGGCTCAGCGGTTCGGGTGATGGGGTCCAGCCCCCCTGCTCTGATCACTCTTCATTATTTATCCCCCATGGAACAGCTTCAACGGGAGATACTGAGAGCGCCCCACATCGGAATATCCCCTAGCTCAGTGGTTAGAGTGCTTGCCTGAGAGGGGGAAGACCCCCGTTCAGAGCCTGCCCCCCCCTTACCTAGGTGGCAGGGGAGAAACTGAACCACTCAGGTGAGCGATTGAACCACTGGACTAAAAATTAGAAGGTAGGCACCACCCCCATCCCCTCATCTGGCCAGATTTTGAATGGCACCTGATTCTGTCGGCATGCTGAGGCCACCTACCAGATCGGGCCCTGTGCATGACTTAGCCTGACAAACGCCTGCCTTCCGCTGGTTTGGGATTCCCTCTGATGGTGGCAGATGGGTGCCTGGAGGTCTAGAGGGAGGCAACAGTGCACATGTCCGGAGGCAGAAACCGAGGTGCCAAGGGAACTTTTACCCTGAAAACTTAGGCACTGAGGGAGTTTAGGCTCCTATAGGGTTCAGTGAGAGTTTTGTGGATCTCAGCAGAGCCTAAAACTGGGGCATAGGTCCCATCTTAGGAAACTCCATGAATCTGGCCCCCATTCTGTGTCCTGGCGGGTCTCTTCCCACCCCCACAGTTTCAGGGGATGGGACTGACATTCCAGCTCATGCAACAAGGAGCATTTTGAGAAGGAAGCTAGCAGAGCTCCCCCAAGCTCCTTGCAGCCACGTGAGAGGCCTGGATCAGGGGCCTGATTCACCACTGCCGTGCACCTGGTGGAATCACCTACCCCAGTGCAACATGGTGCAAAATGCAACCCAGTCAGAGCTGCAGCACTTTTGTAAGTGACTGCACAAGGTGCAGGGCAGGGAAGAATCGGGGCCTGGGGCTGGGCCTAGGCTAGTGCCATCTCCCTCTTTCTCACCATGCGCCTAAGTCTTCTCCATCCCCTCCAGGATGAATTTATTTCATGATCCAAACACCACCCGCCACTCCCCCCACAGATCCTCTCCCCCGCTGACACCCATCCCCCACCCAGGTTATGGAAAGTTGCTTGTGGTGGCGCCCACCCAACATCTCACTCGGCCCAAGGCCCTGCTGACCCCAGGGCCAGCCCCACTCAGAGCAGGGGAGGTCTGATCATCTCCGCCTTGCGTCCCCAGGTGTCGGAAAGCCTGGTCCAGAGGAATGGGGACTTCCTGATCCGTGACTCACTCACCAGCCTGGGGGACTACGTGCTGACGTGCCGCTGGAGGAACGAGCCGCTGCACTTCAAGATCAACAAGGTGATGGTGAAGTCCAGCGACGGCCGCACCCACATCCAGTACCTGTTCGAGCAGGAGAGCTTCGACAACGTGCCTGCCCTGGTGCGCTTCTACGTGGGGAACCGCAAAGCCGTCTCCGAGCAGAGCGGCGCCATCGTCTACTGCCCCATCAACCGCACCTTCCCGCTGCGCTACCTGGAGGCCAGCTACGGACTAGCCAATGGGAAGCACAGCGGGCCCCACAGCCCCGCCAGCCAGAAAGGGGGGCACATCAAGAGGCGGAGCATCACCATGACGGATGGATTGACGGCCGACAAGATCACCAGGGGCGAGGGATGCCCCACCAGGTAACGAGATAAGTGAAAGGCGGAACGTAAGGGTCTCAGAGGGCCTTGGCATCTCACCACATCCCTGGGATTATCTCCATTCGGGGAGACTAGCACCAAGAGGGGAAATGACTAGCCACAGATCACACAGCAAATCAATGGCAGAGCCCAGACTAGAACCCAGGAATCCCAACTCCTAGTCCCCAGCCCCGAACTTGCTGGACAACACACCAGAATAATCAGCAACCGGTTGCATTCCTCGCTAAGAGCCACAGAGCGCTTTGAGCTAACACCCCTCAGCGTCACCAGTGAGTCAGATCAGTTAAAGCTGCAGCAAGCATGCACAGGGTACCCGACCAGCTTGGTAGGGTTATGCCTTCTGCCAATTTCATTTGATTGGATCTTTAAAAAAACAACAACCTGGCCTTGCCAAGCACGCCAGAGATGGGAAATGGAAAGAACTGTCAAACTCTCACTTACTCTTCACTGCTCAGTTCTGCCCTCTGATCAGCGTAGGCAGTGAAACCAAAACGAGTCAGTTTCCCCTCATGTCTTGGCTATTTCTCCTGCACAGCCCCATGTGTCTGGTTTGGGTTACTGGCCCTCTAGGGGGAGGGTGGGGACAGGTTGGGGAGAGGGGAATGGTTAAATCCAAACGGTGGTCACTGACTGTTAATACACAAATAGCACAAACATTTCTCTTCTGACTTTGGTCCTAGGGAACCTACGCGCTGGGCCTGAATTAGCTGACTGTCCTGAGCATTTCCTAGAGAATCAAGGCCTGGTTTCCAGAGGTGCTGAACAGCTGCAGCTCACATTGACTTTAGCTGGAGTCGTAGGTGCTCAGCACTCTTGAAAACCCCGTCCCCACAGACTGGACTTTCAGCAGAGCTTCCCTACCACATACTTCTGAAAGTCTGGCTACTCGTGCTGGTGTGTAAACGGGAGCGGAGCTCTCCTGAAAATCAAGTCCTATGTGCCCTCTCCTGAGGTGTGGGCATATTACCCCAGCCACCCCTGAAGCCTGGGGACCAAATTCACTGCTGGCACAAACAGACACAAGTTCACTGACAGTTGCACGCATTTACACTGTGAATTTGTCCCTTGGCATCTACCCTGGAGCGTCTACAGGAGCCATGTGTTTTAGGGGGATCAGTGACTTGACCTATTTTTACCCCGCCCCCAGCGTATCCTTACCGCATCACCGAGATGTCATCCGGAACTGCGCAGTCAGCGTGGACCAAATCCAAGATCTCCATTCCCCAATGTCTCCCATCTCCGAGAGCCCACTGTCTCCGGCCTACAGCACCGGTAGGAATCCCTCAGCCCCGTGGAAAGCAGTCATACACAGAGACTCAAATGTGCATTATCCATAGTATGAAGAGTGGAATTGGGGAAAGAGGGGAGGGACTTCGCTTGGTGTGACACCAGAGGCTCAGGCATGCAAACTGGGCCGGGCTGCTACTAGATAGACACTAGCCCTGTGGCACATAACACTGGCCTCTACATGCTTAATACAGATCTTGTCAATGAGTCAGGCTTCACCCCTTCCTCAGCCCTAGTGGCCAGGTGCCACACTACAGATACTGCCTCAGTTTCCCCATTTGAGTTTGTAAGTCCAAACAATTTTGTATCAAAGAACGACTAATCAACAGAAAACATGTCCCAAACAGGGAAAGACCTTCAATTTGAGTCTGATGCCACTCCTAGCTCTGTTGTTGGGGTGCCCCCTCTTGCACAGTCTCTGGATCCTCCCTGGATAAAGAGCTTCCTGGAAGCTGGGGTACTGTTCTCGCCAGTCCTTCAGTTCTCTTTACATAAATAACCCTCAGTCCTCCTTTCTGGAGCTCAGGATACTGCTGTCATCAGGACTTTGCTTATTTTTCCCATCTCTCCTACCCGGCACTGGGGTTCAATTCTCAACAGTCCTTCCCATAACTGGTTTAGGAGGCACTCCCCTTGTGCATTGTGGGGTCTCCTCTCTCCAAGAGCTCTCTGTCCCCAACTGATCACCATACTGATTCCTCTCCAACTGAGTTCTGCTGACCTTTATATTAAAATCAGGTACTTACCTATCAGTTAAGCACCAACCAGCCAGCTGGATGATCAGTTAGCCCCTGGGCAATCAATTAGCCCCAAGGCTGGCTCACCAGCTTTAGTCGTGGATAAACTGGCCCCAATTTCCTCCAAAAGGCCTGTCACCCTATGACAGATCTCTTTCCTACAACTCTACCTGCCTGCTGCATCACTTATTGCTAATGAAACACCAACTGTCTAAAATAACCCCTCTTCAGATTAAGGGAAAACATCCAGAGAGAATGAAAGTCCAGTCAGAGAGAGCATAATGTGAGAATCTCCTATGTAACAGGCTGCAGCCACTCTGAGAACACAATGGCTGCTGTCTTTGCACAGAGGCAGATCTTAGAAACTTAAAGGAATAGTACACAGAAAACAAGGGCCTCAATCTTTCCTAACTACCTACATCACACTGATGCCATAAAAAAAAAACCCCACACCACCATTTAAAAAGAATCAGCTAGTCTGGAATAAACGGGGGGACTAAACCCTAGGGTGGTACAACTGTTAGAAACTATTCTAATTTCTGCCAGACCTTGGCAACCTCAAATATAACATGGGCTCAAAGTCCTGCCCTCTGACTGGCTAGAAGTTCTTACAATCATGACAAAGATATTTGTAACTTCATAGGTCCCGATCCAGATTGTCTGTTCTATCTGAGAGCTGGGTCTCTTGCATCTCTCGGTTTGGCCTGCAGCATGCGTGTTTATGCATGTGCCTGGGATGCATGTCTCTTCTCTGATCTACAGTAACTGGGTCTCTTCTTCCCTCTGCAGTGACTCGGCTAAAGCCCCAAGGGGGTCAAGCTGGTGGCATAACCCCAGCCTCTCCCGTCATAAGAAGATCCAGCGAGCCACAGCTGTGTCCAGGAAACAACCCCCTGACAGACCTGCCTGATAGCATCCACTCCACTCCCTGCCATGGGTACTCCACGGCCTCTCCTTCCCCCTCTGTTAACAGCTATAGCGACCCGGACACAGGGCATTACTGCCAGCTCCACCCCACCTCTCCTGTCGGCCAGGAGAGGCCGACTCATGACACCAAGCCGCTCCCCACTAAGAGCTATGTGGAGAGGTTGAAGGTGGAGGGGGGTCAGAGGGTGACTGCAGAGAACGGCTCCAGCGAGGCAGGACAGAGGATGAAAGGGGAGCAGGACATTGTGGGCTTTGTCTCACCCACTGTGGAGATGGGCTCGTCTTTCAACCCTGTGGCGTTCCAGTCCCTGCTGATCCCCCTGGAAAACAAGCCTCTGGAAATGGCTGTGCTTAAGAAGGTGAAGGAGCTCCTGGCAGAGGTGGATGCCAAGGCCCTTGCCAGACACATCACCAAAGTGGACTGCCTGGTATGACTGGAGATTTGGAGGGTGGGGAGGGCGATGTCATTCCCATGACCTGCTGCCTTGACCCCTCCCTTGCTGGGCTTGTTGGAAGAGCTGACATTTAACTAGAAAATGTAGCGTCTCAAAGAGACCTATCTGCTGCCAGCTGAGCAGATGAGTGGGGTCTGGTGGACTGAGCACGGAGCTGGGATTGACCATCTTTGAGTTTTAATCCCAAATCCACCAGTGACTCTGTAACCCTTGGCAAGTCACTTCAGTGCTCCGTGCCTCAGTTTCCCAATATGTAAAATGCATGTGTGTGGCTGACCTCTCAGGGTGTTGTGGGGTCAAATTAGTATTACCAGTGCTCTAGGGGCATGAGGGGAGTTGAGTCTCTTTTGGTCCCACTCAGCCCTTGGCCTCTCTGAGACCGCTGACAAGGGGACAATCAATGCCAATTACGTGAGAGCTCATTGCGAGGTGAGGACTTGTGCACCCGGAATTGGACTGAGACAATCCACGTCATTTTGCACAGGCCACCTACTGGGGATCAGCTGGGCCCACCCTGGTCACCACCACCCCTGGGCTGGATGGGAGCCAGCTTCCTAGGGCTGGGTTGTAATCCAAGAGCATTGTGCATTCTCAAAGCCCTTACATTCCTCCCGGGCCCCTGTGCGTGAGGTAGGGCAGGATTATCTGGGGACCAGGGAGAAGTGTCCTGCCCCAAGCCAGGCAGTCATTGGCAGAGCCAAGACTAGAAGCCAGATCTCCTGACTCTCCCACCTGTGCCTCAAGAGGCTCCATACTAGCCATCCCCCGCCAAGGACACTGCTGAGGCTGTGTCCTCAAACACCTGCCACCGGCCTGCCCCGTCCGTGCCATTTCACTTCCAGAGTTTGTTTCCATCTAGGGTCTGGACACTGGTTCTCGACATCAGGGGATCTTGGGCTTTAGGGCCAAACTCATCCCTTGGGGTAAATGGGTGCATCTCCATTTGCTCACAGGGTTTAGTACCTTCTCTCTCACACACACACACACACACACACACACACACACACACACCTGTCCATCTCTTGGCGTGCCCTGTGTGTGTAAACCCCGCGCTGGCAGCAGCTCAGGGAGTCCCAAGCATCAGTGCTTTCCTGGCTGAGCCTGGTGTGTGATGAGGCAGGGGGAAGACCTAAGCTTGTGGCTGCCTCACAGCGGAGCCTGTCCAGAGCGAAAACTTTCTCTGCACTGAGCCAAGCCCCCTCCCCTCAATCAGAGGAGCTTCAGCTGCTTTCCCTCTTTGTTGCAGGTTGCTAGGATACTGGGTGTTACCAAGGAGATGCAGAGGCTCATGGGAGTGAGCTCAGGCATGGAGCTGCTCACCCTGCCCCACGGCCATCAGCTTCGACTCGACCTCCTAGAACGGTAGGCTGGGAAGCAAAGGGGCAGGGGGCCCGTGGGACTTGGGAAAGCAAGTGCTGCCCTGGCTCCTGTCCCAGGCAACCCTGCCTGACTCCAGAAGAGCCGTGGGGCTCAGCCCCACTCGGTTAGGTATCTCGCTCTGGACCTCGGGGACTAGCTGTTGCCACCAGATTTGGCAAGTTTGGCCTGTGGTTCCGAATGCAGCTTCCGTCGCCGTACAATGCTCTGCCCCCAATCTGCTTTCAGTGGGTTATTGAAACGACAGTGACAGGCCCCAGAGTAATGGCCCTGGAGACTGAAATCCTCAGTTTAGCCACGCACCCCAGGCAGCTGCAGTGCAAGCATCACACCCAGTGCTGGCCTCCCGATGGGCCTCAAACCTGACCTTGATGGGCCACCTCTAGGGGGAGTCCAGGCTCCATGGCACCATTCAGTTCTCAGCCTCTCTGCTGAGCCGGCGGATGAGGCCTCCAGTTGTGTCCCACTGGACTGAGGCAGCCAGTGCATTGCACGTGGGGAACCACAGAGCCGTCATGATGGGGACATCTTCTGGCCATTCCCCACTTGGGTCAGACTTGAACCAGCGGCCAAGACGCTCCATATCCCCTCGCCACCTCCTAACTCCCTTGCCTTTGCTTCCTTCCTCATCTGACATCTCAGCCTCTCTGTTTCCTCCCACGTCAGGTTCCACACCATGTCCATAATGATTGCGGTTGATATCCTGGGCTGCACAGGCAGCACGGAAGAGAGGGCAGCCCTGCTGCACAAGACCATCCAGCTGGCTGCCGAGCTGAAAAGCACCCTGGGGAACATGTTCAGTTTTGCTGCTGTGATGAATGCACTGGAAATGACCCAGGTAGCAAAACCCCTCTGTGGCGAGCGCTCGGCTCAGCCTGGCCCCTTCTCCCACCCCCCCTCCCCAAATCACACACGCCTCACTGCATCCCTCAGGCTCCTGGAGCCCCAAACGCCAGCACGTTGGGGTGGGGGAAGAGTGGAGAGAGAATATTGTGGGGGACACGGGGTCCAGTTCATCCTGGGTATAACTCAGAACAGTGCTTGAAGCAGAGTAGAGCTATAGGGAAATGGCGAGCATGGGAACATCCCCACCCCCCGAAAATGGCCCGGTCCCATACGGCCATGATTTGGTATTCTTTGCCGGGCTGTATTATTCGGAGGAAATGAAGTCGCCGTCCAATAGGATACAATCACTGCTTTAAGGCTCCGGCATCTCGCAATCCAAGCTGCTCCCTTCAGAAGATAGAATTCAACTTTAAATCAAGCCCAGCTGGGAACTCACTTTCCCCTAGTACAAAGGAGCTGGAGCTGCTCCCTGCCCTCCCCATCTCTCTCGCTGTCCGTCACCAGCCATGGAGGAAGGAAAAAATACGAGCAAAGCAAAAATTCTTTTGATGAGCTCTCAAGTTTCTCACCACTGCTGCACGGTCAAGCTTAGAGATGCCCAGAGAGCTGGCACAACTAAGGGAGTCCGCAGAGGGGACCGGCAGGGGAGGCTGCAAGTTAGGGCCGAGGTTTATAGCAAAGCTGTGGGGGATCCTAGATGGGCGCAGGAGGAGGTGTGGCAGGGTAGGAGCGAGGCGTGTTAGCTGAGCTGCCTGGGTGTCCTTGGATTGGAATAGCAGGAAGGCTGCAGCTCAGGACTGAGGTGCTTTGGCAGATCCACCCAGAATTAGTCTGTCCCCAGCTCTAGCTGGTGTTGCTGGTCCCTCATGAGTGTCGGAATCCCAGTGCGTTAGTGGGACAGTCCCTGTAGAGCTGAGCGCATGCTGCTGCCAGTCCCGTGGTCAGACCCCTCCTTTGCTGCTGCTTCCAGATCTCGCGGCTAGAGCACACCTGGATGGCGCTGCGCCAGCGGCACACCGAGGGGGCCATCCTCTATGAGAAGAAGCTAAAGCCCTTCCTGAAGAGCCTGAATGAAGGAAAAGGTAACGGGGAGGAAGAGTCGTTCGCCTGGCATTTCTCTTTCCCCTGTGCTCTGCTCTGAATCTCTCTCTCAAAGGTCCATACAATTCCCCGGAGCTCTGGATGGGCTAGCCCCTGTCCCATTTTCCCATATCATCCACTGAACGAGTGAGAGGAAACGGGCGTGTCCAGTTACATCCACCTGGCTTCCTGCCAGACTCTTCATCATCCTGATGGGTATTTCCATAGTGAGAACCCCCTGGAAAGGGGCAGCCCCCAACACCATGGCCTCTCTGCCAGTCACCCAAAACATCCCTCCTACCCCACTCAACCCTCCCCTTGCCCCCTCTTCCCCATTCCAGTCCCTGGTGGCTCTACTCCTCCCCTCGGGACCTAACTCCACCCTATGGCAGCAGCAGCTCCTTCCAAGACCTCTGAAGTCATGGGCCACCAAACGCCACTGGGGCTGCCAGGGTGGGATTGCTGCCTGTGATCTGTCCATGCTTCCTCCTCCATGAGCTTCCCCCTGCCTAGCAAGGCCAAGGGCATTACAGTCAGCGTTTGCACACTGCTGCTAGGATGCAGAAGGTGCAAGACCCTGCAGAAGCTGCAACCCCAAGCTAATGGAGTCCAGTTGTTCACTTGTCCACAACCCGTGTGCTCCGGAACGCCTGCCTCCCCGTTCCAACCAGTTCTGCCTCTTCTGTTTAGTGACCTAGGTGAAATGAGTTGACTGTCCCAGACCTGTCTGTAGAGGAGAGGTGTCCACATCTCACAAACTGCCATAACTGGTACTAACTGACCCCCTTGTTGGTAGTGAGAGACCAAGGACTGGGCTGCCCTCTTGCTCCTGGGAGGGTCTCCCTCCTCTCTGGGGTAAAGACTGGGGCATGTTGGGAAGTGCCTGGAATCTTGTCCAGACTGTACCTGTTCTGTAGCTATCTGGAGGGCACCGGTCCACAGGGCTCTCAGTCTTGCACCTCTCACCATGACAAACTGTGAGGGTAAGCGTATGAAGTGGCCCCTTTGGCTCTTGAAACATCAGGCAGTAGCCAGGGAATTCAGGATGTGGGTGTGTTCTTGTTCTCTTGCAGAAGGCCCTCCGCTGACCAACACCACCTTCCCTCATATTGTGCCCCTTATTACACTCCTGGAGCGGGATGCCGCGCTCCTGGACAGCCCGGAGCCCTGGGAAAACACGGACAATGGCGTGGAGGTTGTCATGGCCCACCTGGAAGCAGCGCGGATGGTGGCGCATCACGGGGGACTGTACCATACCAACGCAGAGGTGAAGCTTCAGGGTAAGGAAGCATTGGGTCTGATCTGTGATATCCAACTCATTTTGGGCCAAAGAGCCCCTCCAGGCTGCACCAGATATCCCACTGGCAAGGGGAAGGTCCACACAACACTAGATCTTCCTCTTCCCATCCCTGTGGAGTTGGTTCCACACCACAGAGGGTGCCCCGCTGTCAGAACTGGGGCCGTTCTCCTGTACAGAAGTGGGGATGCCAGGCTGCTGGCAGTAAATAAGTGGTCTGCATTTACCCCTGTGGAAAAGGGGACTCACCACTGGAGCACCCCCTTGTGGCTGGGTATGACATAAAAGGTTATCAGCACCACCTGCAGTGGTCCATCTCCTCTCCCAACTCAGAGCTCCAGCCAGGTCAGTTTCACCCCATCCAGCATAACAGAAAGTTCAACAACAGTCCAGCATCCTGACAAAAGCTCTTCAGTCCCAGGTCCTCACACCCTTCTCTTAGGGCTCTCCACTGTCCTTATCCCCATCTAATGGGCCTCACACCACCTTCCCCAGGGACTGGTAAGGAATCCAGGCCCTCCCTCTAGTCTGCGTTCCAGTCTAAGAGACTCTAACCAGCAGCCAAGGTCTGCTCTGTCAGACTCCTTTCTGCTGCCTCCCTTCCGACTGTAGCCTATCAGCTGGCCCCTCCCACAGCCTCTCCGGGTTTACTTTTCTCTCAGGGCCAGGCCATACAGGGCTCCCGCTGGAATCCCCCAACAAAATCGAAGTACAAATGGAAACCCACTTCTGCTGTCCTTGGGCTTGACCTTTCATCCTTCTCTGCTCCTCAGTTTAACACCTCCCTGGGCTCTCTCCTTGGAAGTCCAGATTCTGCCCTATCTTCAGGGCTCCTCACCACCAGAGCCTGCTCCATCCACAATGGCTGTTGTGTAACTCCTGGCTTCCTGCTAGACTTCTCTACTCAGGAGAGGATCCCAGGGCCAATTCTGCCTCTGGGTTCCTCCTTGACCCTCGCACACTCTCTGGTCCCAGGGAGTGACTGCAGAGTTCTTCACTGTCTCTTCCTGCAGCACCTTCTGCTGCAGACTTCCTGTCTTTGTAGTACCACCCAGCTGGGCTTCATCATCAGATATGCCTGGCCCACCCTCCAGGTGCAGCCAGGTAGCATAATTGGCCTCTCCAAGCCACATTAACTCTTTCATTGCCTCCATGGGGTAAACACCCATCACACCCCCAATGCTTCCCCCTAGATTCTCCTAAGCTGGGTTACACAGCGGTTCCCAGCAATTGTGAGTTGCAAGTAGGGTGACCAGATAGAAAGTGTGAAAAATCAGGGTGGGGGTAATAGGCACCTGTATAAGAAAAAGCCCCGAATATCGGGACTGTCCCTTTAAAATCAGGATATCTGGTCACTCTGAATTCCAAGTCAGGGCAGAATCTGGCCTATTGTGTTTGAAGGGACTTTGAACAGAGTGTCATTAAGGCCTTGGACTGGATGTGGGGTAACTCGTAGCTTATTGCAGGACTATTAGTAAGAAGGTCCATGTTTCAGCCAATCTCTCTCCAGGATAGAGACCGGCATTGTGTGGCTGAACCATCAGCCTCCTAACCCTGCTCCTGGAATAACCCGTTTTACCATGTGCTCTCTTGAGCTCATGGCCCCAGGCCAGTTTGCTTCTCCTGGAGAGCTGGAAGGGCAGAGGAATCCCAGCTGCTTCCTGCTGCTCCATTTAGGCTAGGGTGGTTCAGAGCATGCATGTGGTGAGCTTGTCCCTGGTGGGCTGGCTTCTCTCTGACGCTCTGGGTCTTGTGTCCTTTGCAGGATTCCAGGGCAAGGCTGAGCTCCTTGAGATCTTCAGCACTGAGTTCCAGATGCGTCTCCTGTGGGGCAGCCGCGGTGCTGAGAGCAGCCAGCGGGAACGCTACGAGAAATTCGACAAGGTCCTCACCGCATTGTCCCACAAGCTGGAGCCCTCTGTGCGGTTCAGTGAACTGTAACCGACGTGGGACTCGGAGTTAAACTCACAGCGGGAGGGTGGCACCAATCAGTCCTTCAAGAGGCCAAGTAACCAGGTCCCCAGTCTGCAAGCCAGCCCACTCCTCATGCAGCCAGGGGGGCTAGGAAGCTGTGGGTACCACAGACCCAGAAGGGGAGCCAGCCAGGCGCGAGGGCGTGAGGAAGAAAGCTGGCATTTAACATCTGCAAAGGAAAGAACTGACCAGGAGTGAAATCGCGGCATTGGGATGGGTACGTAGCTCTCTGGAGAAAAGAAACCTTCTGAAAAGTTCCAGCATGCCCAGACTGATGGGGGAGGGAGCCCAGAACAGCTATTGTGATATAGGTCCATCCGTGCTCCGCACATGCAAAGTTACAGGAGGCTGCATTTTAATTTCCACCCAAAGCAGTGACCTCCCCTCCTCAACCACCAATACAAATCAATAGTGGAATCTCACTAACGGACCCTCCCCACTAACATCCTATCGAAATTCCCTGGGCAGTCCCGGTGCAAATGTTTTGAGCTGCACATTTGTGGAGGAAGGAGAGCACTGATCACTCCCAGCCATGGGACCTCCTGCTGATTCTCAGCTGTAGTTTAGGCTACAGGATGCAGTGTGTGCATCCCAGCTGATCTACACAAAGATGCCTGTGAAGCCAGAAATCCACCTCCTCTGGCCCTGCAATCACAAGGTATCTCATTACCGTTGTGTTCTTCATTCAGCCTTGCTGGTTCTCAGCCACGTGGGGTCCAGTTGCTATGATCACCCAGTGCCGCCCCCACTCGTACAGCCTGTTGGCCTCAGATATTTTATCTTTTCTCTGTCTTGTCTGTGGCCAATTAATTCTGCCTGTAAATAAATTTCACATTTACTTCTTGATGTACAGACTTGTGAGGGCGTTCTTGTAAATAATTATGCTCACGTCATTTCGTCTTGTAAATAAGTGTACATAGATCATGGGGGAAGTGGGGGTTTTTTGTTGTTGTTTTTGGTTCTTACATACAATAAACTTTTATGCTCTTCCTCAATGGACTCACATCTTTGGAGAACATTTTAAAATACTTTTCTATAGTGACACAAGCTTGTACCATTCAAGGTGCGTTTGTACTGACGCCCCAAGTGTCGGTGGTGTCTATGTATTGTGCCCCAAGCATCGATGGTGTTTCTTCTTTTGTTGGCATTACTTTAGAAATTTAATGCACCTGGGGCATACAAATGTATCCTAGGCACAGCAGAGCTCCTTCTGAGGACAATGCATTCACATACCTTCAAAAGATCAGTGGGCTTCTTCTGATAATGTGTTTGTTGCCTAGTGGGGACGACTCATCAGCTTATGTTCAAAATCAGATGGTCCCCAGAGTTTGAGGTCCACTAAGGGCTTCAAAACATTATCACACAGTAGCCCAGTCGGTAGGGCTGGGACTAACCCACTCAGCCCTGAATGCAACAACATGTAGCATGTAACAGACACCTGAGGGTGTCATCAGCACCTAGCTCTAAAAACCTATCCACCTTTTCATCTTCTTTGCTTTACACCAGAACAAGCTGTCTACCCATCCGTTCATAAATGATCATTGCTGGTTATCACCCAGCCATCCTCTGGGCCTGGCATTTTCAGCCAACTGCAGGGTAAAAATCTCTCCAGAACTTCTTAGAACTCCTGATCGGCTTGTACATTTTTTTTGCTTTGCTGTAATTCTGGTGACCACACCAGCCTGTTCTGGCTGATGGTTGGACTACGGGCTCCAAAGCCGACTTAAAGTAAAACCACTCAAAACCTAGGCTTTGGGGAATTCTGTTTATCCCATTGGAATTGCTGTGGCTGCTGCTGGAATGCTGCGGCTGCGGCTGTGATTGCAAAAGGACTGGAAGAGGATCCATGAGGTTGTGCAGGGAGAGGAGGAAGCCAAGAGACAATATGTGCTGCACCTTTTGGAAAAAATTGGAGAGCTACTGATTTAGTGAGAAGGCGCCACCCCGTGGTGCTTTTAGAGTCGCGTAACTCAAAGTGTCTTATCACTACAGCCTATGTTGGTATAATTTATGTTGCTTAGGGATATGAATAAACTACCACCCTGAGCAACATAAATTAAACCAACATACACGCCTGTGTGCACAGCACTCAGGTGAGGTAATAGTATCTTTTACATCACCTACCTTGTCTCTCTCATATCTACATTACCCACTTATGGCGGCAAAACTTATGTCGCTCAGGGGTGTGAAAAAAACACACCTCTGAGCAACATAATTTTCACCAGCATAAATGGTAGTGTGCACAACACACAGCTTCTCCCGCCGACATAGCTACCGCCGCTCGTTGGGGGTGGTTTAATTATGTCCTCTCCCATCGGCATAGAGTGGCTACACGAGAGATCTTACAGCAGCGCAGGTGCATCAGTACTGCTGTGCCCCTGTATGGTCTCTAACGTAGACACAGCCTCATACCCTGGGACCAACACGGCTACAACAACACTGCAAACAATTATCCAAGTGTCTTGGGGGGAGGGGGGAGGGGGGTGGCAGCAGGGGGAGGGGGTAATTTACCAGTAAAAGCTGGCTGCTAAAAAGGCAACAGCCTGACACTGCCAGCCATCCGCCTGAGCTCAGGTCCCTAGAGTCCTCTCATGCCCCAAACCAGCAGGCTTGCAAGCGCTGAGGAGTGACTATGCTCGGTCCTAAGTCAAGAGGGGCATGCTCAGCGATCCTCCCAGCAACCTCCTCTGTTCAGTGCTGGGAGGGGGGGGGGGATGGACAGGCTCCAGAGAGAGCTGCTTCAAACTCTTTTTGTTAAAGGGAACCTGTTTGCAATGCCAAGGTGCACAGGGCAAAATGAGAGGGTGAAAATGGGGCCCCGAGGCGCGCTCCCATACCCCGAAATAGCAAACTTACCTGTGTACTAATCACCAGTTGTGAGTCTAAGCGAGATCCTCACTCGTGCTATGCAGAATGCATGTCTTGGAAGACTCTGTTAGCTGCACCCATCCATGAGTGCAGCAGCTGCTGGTTCCCCCTGTACGGCTTCTATCGTGTGGAGTGACTTCTCTCTAGCTCATCCCCTCATCGCTGCTCCATCTCATTTCAAATCTCCGGTGAAAACCTCTCTCCTCGCCCATGCCTTAGGTTCCCACAAATGCAAGTTTGTCTGGCGGGGCAAACACATGCATCCCAACACTGACTAAAGAGGGCAACGTGACCTGGGCTCCCAGTTATTTTGAGACCCCATGAGCCAGGCCTGAGACATTTGGACCACTCCAAAATCAGGAGGATCCCAGAAATGCCCGGATCTGGTACCAAGCCACCCTGCTGCAATGCTCTCCCTCCGTTGTGGTTTACACTTTCGGGGGTAGATGCAGAGCTCTGCTGGGCACCTGTGGGAATTGAAGTTGCTCATTTGGGATGCAGTGTGGACACCAGACACGAAATCAGGGGTTCTCAAACTGGGCGTCACGCCCCCTCAGGGGATCGCAAGGTTACTAGGTGGGTGTCACGAGCTGTCTGTCAGCCCTGTGCGGGGCTGACAGCCTGAACCCCGTTAGATTCAATTAACCCCCCTCCCCATTTTTAATTGATAAGGGGGGGTCGCACTCAAAGGCTTGCTGTCTGAACGGGGTCGCCAATAGGAAGTGTGAGAACCACTGCACTAAACCCAGCCATGCACTGGGTTTAGTGAATCTTCCCCCTGGGCCCTGTACCCCGAGGACCCTGGTCACTGCCCCCCACCCCCCAAGGTGCCCCGCCCCTCCCTGCATTCAGGCCCCACCCCGCCCGCTTTGGCTCCTCCCCCTGAGCGCCGAGGCAGCCGCGGCTCTGGCGGTTGCTTCCCGCCCTGCCTGGAGCCGGGCCCCGCGCGGGGCAGGCTGGGACCTGTGGTCCGGGACGGGAGGCGGCAGGCGGCGCGCGGCGGGATGGGGGGCGGCTCTGGGCTGCTCCGGCTCCTGCTGCTGCTGGGGGCCGCGGGCTCGGCCGCCCCCTGGGACCTGCGCGCCCTGCGCTGCAGCTTCTCGGCCGCCTGCGAGTGCGACTTCCGGCCCGACGTGCGCGGTGAGCGGGGGGAGCCGGGACTCCGCGGCGCGCCTGAGGGGAGGGGGTCCGGGGGAGCAGGGAGAGCCGGGGGAGGAGGGGATGGGGGACAGGGAGAGCCGGGGGGGGGGGATCGGGGGGGCAGGGAGAGCCGGGGGGGGTCTCTGTAGGGGGAGGGGCTCCTGAGCAGCTAGGGAAGGGGGTGGATCGGGGGAGCTGTGGAGCGGGTCATCCCTGACTGAGGGGCCACCCTTGGGTGTCCCTGAGGGGCCAGGGGAGGATGGTTCCTCCAGGGGCGGGGTGTTGGCTGCCCTGACCCGTCCCCTGGGGTGCACACCCGGCTGCAGGGGATCTCTTTTCACGCACCCCTCCCCTGAGCGCTCTACTGCTGTACATTTAAGGAGCCTGTATGAAGACTGAAGTGCATTTGATTGCTGCTCGGTGAGCCCCCGTTACAGGGTGACTCGCACCCTGGGGAGACACTAGATCAGCAGGCCCCCAGCACAGATGCAGAGGGCGAGATCTCAGGGGTGAGGGCCAGATGTGGCTATTGGATGATTGTGACGTGCTGCTCCTTTTGAGAGCATCCCTAGAGAGGAAGTGGAAGGATGCCCCTTCTCTAAGTTGCACACTAAAACCAGTTCCTTCAGGGCCACAGCAATACAGATGTTCAAAGAGTTGCCGTTTTGTGTCGACTAGAGCCTGATCCAAAGCCTGTTGGAAAGATGCCCATCTACTTCAACGGGCATTGAATAGGGACCCTGCTCCCTGGACAGTTCCTTCCAGTCTGTTCAGTGTTTCTGTTCACTCTTATTTCAAATGTCTAAAGTAATGGAGCTTCCCTCTAGAGACCTTTCCTCCACCCACTATCCCCTGAAATTCATCATAGTATTTCCTTTTCTTAACTGCATCCCATTACTCCCTGTTAGACTTCTTACTACCATTGTGAGGCCTGGCCTACACTTACAAGTTTTACCAGTATGTAACTGGTGGTTAGGGGTGTGATTTTTGTTGTTGTTGTTGCTTAAACTAGTTATACCAGTAAAAGCTATAGTGTGAATGCAATTATACTGCTATAAAAGTGCCTTAACGCCAGTATAGCTTTTCAGTTCCTGGAGCACTTTTATGTTGATAAAAATGCATCCACACTGTTTTTACTATACCGGTAAAGTAAAAGAAGTATATTTTTAAGTGTAGACAGGTCCTGAGCCAACTGAAGTTATCCCACAGGAAGAAATATCCCCCAACCCAGCATCTGAGGGGAAAGGGCAGAGATGGCTTCAAATAACAGCCCAAATAACTTCCATCTCTTAATTCAACATATTCTAAATCTTGTTTTGGATTCATTCCAGGTCTGGAGTGTGACTTGGCCCTGAACCTCGTTGGGCAGCACCTAGTGAGGCAATTGGTGGTGAAAGGAGTGAGAGAGTTTTTACAGAATCATGATCCTGTCAAACCTCTGGTGATGTCCTTCCATGGCTGGACTGGCACAGGCAAAACCTACGTGAGCTCCATGCTGGTCCGCTACTTGTTCCAAGATGGGGTCCGCAGTCCATATGTCCACCAGTTCTCCCCAATAGTGCACTTTCCCCACGCTGAACAGATCGAGCAGTACAAGGTAAGAGTGGAGGCTGCCTCTGAAAGCTAAATTACAACACTTATTTCCTCTTATGATTATCTAGTCAGCCATTGGATAAGTATTGAGACTCTTCTCCTACCTTCCAACACATACTGTAAAGTGCAATTTTTATAGCACCTCTTATCTGAAACTGTTCCAGTGCTTTCCAAACACGAATTAAGCCTGTGGGATACTATCTCAGCTTTACAGATGGGAAAACTGAGATATAGCTAGGGCAAGTGACTTGCCCAAGGTTACACAGCAAGTCAGTGGAAGAAGTGGCCATACAACCTAGGCTCCTGATTACCAGCGCTCTGCTCTAACTACTTGATTGTACTCCCATTAACCTTGGCATTGCCCAGAATCGAAAGAAAAACTTGAGTTAAAATCCTCTGTTGGAAAAAGCACTTCAATGCTTTTTCCAACAGAGGATTTCATTAGTCAATGAAGACTAATGCATTTCACCAGAAAGTCTGTACATTAAAATATGGAATGGTATAAATATTGGACCAGCTGCAGCCTTGGTGGTGTAAACATCTCCAACTGACATCAGAAGAGTCTCACCTGCTTACACCAGAACTCAATTTGGTTAAAGTATATTTTCCTAAGCGTCCATACTAATGGCTGGTCTCAGCATAGAGTGAAGGGAGTGTGAGTACATGTTCAGTAACTTTTGGGGTCTGACTATTAAACTTGTGGAGCTCTCGAATTTCCGTTTAATCCACTCAATATTTCTTCTTTAAATGGATTTGTACTAGTAACACGATATTAAATTAGGCAAAATTCACCATGTTGAATTAAGAGCAAAACAGTTTACCAGGGAACCTTCACTAATGGTAGTCAGTCTTGCAACGTACAAAGTTAATCCTTCTTTCCAGGCAGAGCATCACAAGTGCTGTTCTAAGGAACAACAGCTTTTGGAGGTTGCTATTTCTGGCATTATTAGCCCAGGCTAATGTTGTTCTCATGTAAGCTTAGCTCTTTGGTAGCTCAAGCTCTTCTAACAAGTTCATGGTCCTAACTGGCTTGGTTGGTTGGGTTTGGTTTTCCAGGAAAATCTGAAGAGTTGGATCCAGGGGAATTTGACAAACTGTGGCCGATCAGTGTTTCTCTTTGATGAGATGGATAAGATGCACCCAGGTCTGATCGATGTGATTATACCATTCCTTGGACCCTCCTGGGTTGTGTATGGAACCAACTACAGAAAAGCTATCTTCATTTTCATAAGGTAAGAGAGCTGCCTCTGCAGCAAGTATAACTGGGTTGGGAATAATTCTAATGCATTGCTACTAATTTGGTCAAATGTTGGTAAGTTCCTCCCTATTTTAATCACCCAGAGCAGGTATTTTGTGTCAGATCCATGAGATCTCAACTCATTTCAGTCTGCAAAGGTACATGGTCTCATAGTGCTTTGTCTCTTCCACTGTTTGGCAACCTCTGTAGCAGTCTTCATAGGCCAACTAAGACTGCTTCCATACTCACTGCAGAATGAGGCACTGCCACTGCAGTACAATATTGATGTCATGGGATAACTTTCTGGTAATTTCTTGTCTTGGTCTTGCTCAGCAACGGAGGAGGTGAGCAAATTAATCGAATGGTGCTGGATCTCTGGTATGCCCGCAAGGACCGGGAAGAGATCAGCCTGCAAGATCTGGAATCTGCAGTTTCAGAAGCTGTGTTTGAAAATCCTAATAGTAAGTCTTTCCATCAACTGGGAAATGCTTTTCAGTGAGCATGCTCACCAGCAGGGGGAGCCATACCCTATTTCAAATAAGCCAATGATATTTATACAGTGTTTTACAGATATGTGTCAAGCTATTATCAGTTTTCAGGGAGAAGCCTGAGGTGGAGTTAGGACCTGGATGAATTGCTTTGGCAGATGAAAGGAGTGGTTCTGCTGGTCAAGCCTACAGAAACATTACCATGCTTAACAGAGTTCCACTCGGAGAAGGGGCACCCACGACTGAATAGGAGGCAGATAGGGTAGTGGGGCCCAGTAAGAAGCTAATTATTAAGGGCCTGATCCTGAGAGGTACTGAGTACGTAGAGATTTCCTTTATTTCCCTGCTTGGCAATTTTTAGGATTGGGCCTAAGATAGGTTGGTATATCTGAAGTATCAGTACAGCTGTTAAGAACCATGTATTTGGAGAACACTGGATGACAGATGGATCCAGCTCCCTCAGTTGAATCTGATCTGTTGTCTCTTCTGGGTACTATGACTAGAGCCCTGCAAATCTGTGCATATCCACTTTATAGCCACAGATATCTGCATTTCCGGATGCAGTCGCATTGTTTACCATCTTCGTGGCTCCTGGATTGGATGCAAATCCAAATTTTTGTATCCACACAGGGCTCTAATTATGACTTCCTGGAAACCAGCTCTGGTGGTGCTGGCTTTGATAGCTGATTCCTCCTAGAGGGTGGGGGCATCTCCTATGCTAACAGGGTTGAATTCCATAGAACTGAGAGAGACTCTGAAGATAAAGCTCTTTGCCTCTCCTTTTTCTCCTGCAGATGGGTTTTGGAAATCTGGAATCATCGAGGAGCACCTCATTGATCTCCTTGTGCCCTTTCTCCCACTGAAGCAACACCACGTGAAGCAGTGTGTGGTGAATGAACTCACCCAGCAAGGCTTAACGGTACAGCAGGACATCATTCAGGCGGTTGCTGACAGCATCCCCTACTTCCCAGAGGAGGAGAGAGTGTTCTCATCAACAGGCTGCAAAACGGTGGCCTCTCGCGTCACCTTCTTCTCCTAAACTGAGAGAAGGACTCTTTCTCCAAAGTAGCGCACAGTTGAGGAGCTGGTAAGCAGCCCTTGGAGGATAAGTTTACCCATATACTTGCTCAGATTCAGAGGAGCAGAGTTTAAGAATACTTAAAGCTGCTGTGCCCAATAAAACGGGGATGACCATGAAGAGCAACAGATTGTGGAACTCTGATAGGACAAGTGCAGCCTCCAGCCCTCAGGCAGAGGCTGCCGGATGCAGTCTTGGGAACAAAGGGCACACTGACCTGATTCTAAGCACTTTATCAATCTGTTCTTTGCCCTGGTGGAGGGTGAACACAGAACAGCCAAGAATACCACCGTGATGTGTATGTGGAGTCCAAAGGGGAAGAGGCTGGGAAGGGTTCTTGGCTACTGCTACCTCCCTTTGATAGCTGGAACTGTGCAGATCATCTCCGTTACTCTCTGGGCAGCTGTCAAGATTCTCTGGCCTAGCTCCAATGAATGATCTTCCCTGGGCTGCAGACGAGGGAGTCTCACCCTCTAGTGCTTTTTTAATGGCATTTTTAAACATGTATTTTAATGTGAATCTCAGTATGAAGGCCCCAATGTCATAGAGCCTGCCACACTGCCCTGTGAACATTCTAAACAGATTGACCAGAGTCTCATCTGAAATCTCTGGGGTAAATGTTAAGAGCCAACTTTTCTCAGGTTTTCTTTCACTGTGAATAGGTACTCGTAGGTAAGATTCCAACTGCAGTATCCCTGAGTGCATTAGCATAAGGGGGAAAGGAATGTGTGATTTCTGCTACCAGCTTTGCCCATGACTTGGGGTGTGACCTTGAGCCAGGCCCTTAACCTCCCTGGACATTTCTTCCACCACAGAATACCAGGTCACTCCCTTTGATTCAATGGCATTTACTTGCATCCTGCCAGGGAAGAATTAGGAGCCACCCATGTCAGTCTTTCCAGAAATAAAAATGGTGATTCCTACCTCGCAGGGAGACTAGGCATTAACTAATGGTTTTAAGTACCAGGTATTGGTCTTGTGCTGTATTACATTGCTGGGATGAGTGTGTCCCAGCTGAGGTGTTGAGCTGCTGAACGTCTTGCATATTATATATTGGAGGTTGTCGTTCTGATAGGACACTGCTGGGAACCTGTTGTCCTGGCAGAGCCAGTTTCCATTCCAATTCAGTGCCTCAGATGCAGCTTACTGTATCACAATTAAATGCTGCTGGGGGTTGGAAATAATGCATAGGAATCTCCTTCCCGAAGCTCTGCTACCACTGACCAGCACAGCACTCTTTGCCCTTTCACTGTGTAGCAGCTGGCTACCCAGCATCCAGTAAGAGGAAACAGTGTAAGCTCTATCTGAGCAAACAGATTTGGGTCTAGGCAGAAAGTGCTCCAGGAACTCTCATGCCAGTTGCTGCAGGAAGGTCTCTTCAGTATAGCATTAGAGCAACCTACAGTCTGGTTGAGAAGGAGCCAGTGCTATTACCTCTGTTCAGATCCTGCCCAGGATAGAGTTGGACCAAGATACAGATTTACAGTCAAACATTCTGCCTCTTCCAAAATGTTCATTGTTTTTAATTTAAAATAAATCTGTTGAAAAACCAGGCATGAGTAGCAGTCACTTACTGGGATTCCAGCTGGCATGTTAGAAAGGAGGTAACTATGAGCCTGCATAATGCATTGGAACAGCTGCCTGACCTGACAAAACTAACTCAGGCAGGGACATGAAGAAATATCTATTGTCTGATGATGGAAAACAAGAGCAGTGGCCTTCCTCTGGTGTAAAAGACCAGTGAAAGGGCCATACTCAACTATGAGCAGGACCATGCATCCTCAGTGGGGACAGCTGGCATAGGGAAGGGTGAAGTCTCAGCTGCTCTCTGTCAAAGTTAAACGCCAAGAGAGCACTGGCATCTGTTTTCTCTGCCACATACGTCCCTTTGTTTAAAAGCCCAAGGAGTTGCTCAGGAGACCATTAAAACCACAACAGAGGGATTAAAACAAATGTTATCTTCTACTTCACCGTACAACCAGAGCGTTAGCAGTGACATTTTCATCTTAAGAGGGAGAACCCAGTTGCCACAGTCATTTTTTCCTCGGGTTCTCATGGTCAACTTCCTCATCTGTTTTAACACGAATTGAAACTGAAACCTTGTTGTTTTGGAAACCAGGTTTAGCACGTTCCTCTCCACCCAAGTCAGAGCAATAGAGGTGAGAGTTTGGGGTACAAAGGACAGGCATAACTTCATAAAACTTTCAATACATGGCATATGTATGTCAGCCACCCAGCGTAAGTTGCATTAGATTAACACCTCTGGTTTCAGAGTTTATCCTAATCAAAGCATTCCTCCTGCTCAGCCTGCATTTCAGATTAATGCAGTGCGCAGAGATGATTCACAGCTAGTCTGCTTTCCTGTCCAAATCTTATCACTATGTAGGAACAGCCCCTTAGATGTTCACCTCTAAAGCAGCAGTGTTACAAGTTTCTTATAAATTCAGCACCCTTCTGTGGCACTAGGTTGTAGTACAGCAAAGCCTGTAAATATAGTGACTTCCTGGAAAATTGCCTAAAATTCTTGGCAGAGCTGGCTTTCCTGCTTTGGGAAGACAGCTCCTAGGCTACCTGGACAATGGCTGGGTCTACACCTTGCAGGAAGAAAGGATGTCTGTGCAGATACCAAAAAAATAAAGATGAAAAAACAGGAGGGGGCTACAGAGAAAGTGAAGCGAGAGAAGCAATATGTTTATTAGAGCCGAGGTAGCAGGAAAGGAGTCTAAATGCACCTACTTTCCATTGAAACACAGCTTAGTGTCTGTAACCCAGGCAGCTCAGGTGCTGTCTCTAACACGAAGCTGGAGCAGTTGTTGTACTCTGACTTTTCCTGCCTTCTCACCTTTTCTCCTCCAAGACAGGTTCACTTACTTTACTCACTGTCCTGCTGGAGCTGGCTATCTGCTTGTACAGTTCATGTTCCGTGGCACAAGGGCTGATGACGCTCTCTGAATCCTGCAGGGCTCTCTCAGGATCTTCACGCTGAGCACCTGGTTCCTTTGGTTCACCCTCCAGAGCTCCAGGTGGCCTGTAGGGGCACACATAAGGCAGAGAACTTACTTTGCAGAGTAGCTGCAAAAAGTGATGCATGAACAGATCCCCTCAGAGACCGTGTGATCTAGTCCTTGTGACAAGATTCACAGTCTACAGAAAGATGGCAAGCTACTGTCCTTGTAGGATCACAAAGGGACAAAAAACTATCTGGAATAAATCTGTCACTCCTGCTTCCATTGAAATCAGTGCAAGTTTTGTGGTTGAGTTGGGTCCTGCTTATTAGATCTTCAAAACAACTTTAGCAGACCTGTGCCCATTGGCTTCTCCGTACCATTTGAGTTTAGCTGGACTGTTGGAGTAGGGGCAGGCTTGAAGTTTTCTTTCCAAGATTGTTTTGGCAACCTCCGCAATCTTGCTGCTAATAATATCCTGGATGGGCTGTCCTGGAAAGAGGCTGGTCATAACAGGTAGGACCTGCAGAGGGAATGAGATCAGTTGAATGGCCAGGTGTGTGCTGAAGGTAAAAGTTCTTCCTCCTTCCATCATCAGATAGGGCTGCAAGGATTAAGCTGTGCAGTTCCCATGAGAGCAGCCAAACACTTGCATAAATTACATTAAAAATATAGTTCTAGCATTTTTGGCCAGAAGGGACAATCAGATCATCTAGTTTAATCTACATTGCCTGGGCCAATAGCCATCCTACCCAAATCCAACCACCGGAATCAGACCAGAGTATTACAGCCATGAGGCATGAGCCTCAGTGTTAATTGTTTTTTTTTTTTTATCCAAATGAAATCTTGCTAGTGTAGAAATTCTGGTTTTAAATTTAAAGAAATATTTAATCCATCAAAACCTTTCGGGGAGGGGGGAATGCAATTCCTGGAAAATGAAGGACTAGTTTATACTCAACAGCATGCAGTACTTTGTTTAGCTAGCACGGTAGGTGGATGTGGGGTTTTATTTTTCCACTGAAGCCCTGGTCTTGTTTCCTGATAGCTCCTAGTCACAGGAGGCTGCATGCTCTGAAGCCAGATGCATCATGAGCAGCTTGAAAACACATTACAAGAAACTGGAGTTCTTGGTTTATAGGCAGCAGGAAAAAAAGCCTCCTTAGGTTTTTAATTTTAGCAAATAAATGCTGCAAACCCCAAACCCTAATCATCATTATCTGTATTACAGTAGTGTGAAGGAACCTTGGTCCTAGACCAGGACCCCACTGTGCTTGGCACTGTACAGACACGGAACAAAGACGGTCTCTGCTCTAAGGAGCTTGCAGTCTAAGTGTGTGTGTCCAGGAGACGGCACAAAGACTATGGGCCCAAATGAATAGGGTGTCACAGATTTTCACTACTTGGTCAGTGTCTGGCACAGGGAGTGGTGGCAGTGAGGTACCGCATCATTTTCAGGGTCCAGCAACAGAGCTATGATCACATCCTCCTTAGCACTCATCTCATCCTGCAGGAACAGGCGGCTCTTGGCCCGGTGCAGGTAATAGTGTGGCAGGCGAGGGTTGCTCTCGATAGCACCAGAGAAACAGTGTACTGCCCGCTGGTATTTTCTGGGGGAAAAGATACCGGGAAACAGAAGAGTCAGGTCTGCTGAATCCCTAGGCAGCGTGAGCTAGGGGGGATAAGAACTCTGTCAACTGGATGTAAGGTGCAGTGAGCCATTCCAACATACCTCTGCTTGTGCTCCTGCAATCCTAGTTCATCCAGCAACATACCAACACGTCTTCGCAAACTAAAGTCCATTGGACTCAATTCCAGCGCCTGCTGATAATCCGCCAAGGCAAAGGTTAGCTCTCCCAGCCTGAAGAGGCAGTCTGAAGTGGAGCACACAGATTACTTTAGCAAACAGCAAGCTGAGGTCGGTATTTGAGTGTCTTGGGATGTTATAGCTGCTACAAAGGCCAGTAATTGATGCTGTCCTGTTTGCTCTCTCTGTCTCTCTCCAAGTCTATATAAAATGCTACAACAACATGTCTCTACAGTGCCTCCCATCCTGAAGGCTCCAAAAGCTCTGTAGAAACAGAGAAGCAACTGGATAAACAGTGCTATAGGACATCTAGATGATATTCACTGAAATGCAGCCACCTGTAGGGTGGAATGCAACAGCAGTTCAACAGTGCTTAGAAACACCATGTAGCAATCAGCAAACTACAGTGGGATTTTAGGGAGGCAGAAGGTAGTTTCCAATTTGGAATTAACAAGGTGACAACCTCAACTGTTGCAAAAAGTTCCATGGGATCTTTCCTGGTGATAAATTGGATGAGATGGGAATGTGAGGGCCCAAGCTAAGAAGGTGCTTCCAGTACCACAGGTGGGGAATGAGTCAGTGATAATCATTAACACTTAGTAGTTACGCAGCACTTTCCATTTTCAAAGCGCTTTACAAGCATTGACTAATTAATCTTCACAACCCCCCATGCAATAGGTATTAGTTACGTTTTAAAGTTGAGAAAACAGGGTGCAGAGAAGTTAAGCGACTGACTGCATCCTGGAATGAATCATTTACAGAATTAGAGATACAAGCCCAGAGATCTAGCTCCCAGTCCTTTACTCAGACACCACTGCCTCCCTGATACAGAATGCCACCTGCAGCACCCTTCAAGGTCTCCCATTTGAGCACTGACTATGCTTTATTTATGAGACCCAACATGATTGTATCCCGGGCGGGGTAGCTATAGGCACTGTATATCCCCCCTCACGTGTGCACCCATACATACACAACTACATGGTTCCACAGCTGTCAGCGCACTCACTCATGCACTCCCTTAGAACCAGAAATGTTCCTTGGGATAACTCTTAAGTGAGAGAGAGGATACCCCACCAGGATACCCTCCCACAAACTCAATCGCCACCCAGGAAGAGCCTTGCTACCTCCTCTGTTGACATAGAGTCCCTTCTCGTTCTTCTCCCCTTTCAGGGCTTTGTTGAGGAGCAGCACAGCCTCTTCGAAGAAGCCCTGAGTATAGCAGTGCACTGCAAAGTCGTTGTACGTGAGCAGGAGCTGCCGTTGCGCCTCCATGGCCACAGCTCCCTCTTCTTCACAGAGCTCTGTGGCCTTGATGTAATCATCAATGGCTGAGTTGAAGTCTTTGACCCTTCTGTGTAGAGTCCCTCTGCCACGAAGGGAAGAAGGGAGGGAGACAGGATTAGAGCCCACTAGTTAAGGACAATTAAAATGACTGGGGCGTTCAGAACCTGGAACCAGTACCCAATCACTAGTGCAGACTCCCACTCCCCTCAGTGGGTCACACGTGCACACGGGGCACCTCAGTGAGGACTGGATACAATGGGGTCTCTACCTGAAGATGAAGTACCCTGCATCAAAGGGGCTGTTCTCTATGGCAAAGGTGATTTTGAGCAGGGCATCCTTCAGGTTTCCCTTCAAGGCCTTATTCATAGCCTGGTTCTTGGCTTTCTGTGCTCGTTTCAGAAGCCTCTGCATTAGAATCTGAGCTTCTTCGTGCCGCGGCTCCAGCGCAATGGCCTCCTGGACGTCCTGGTAACACAAGGTAGCCTGGAAACAGAGATTAGGAGAATACTAAGAACTTGCACTCTCCTCCCTCTGTTACCGAACACTTTACAAAGGGGAACTTGGGATGGTTATCCCCATTTTGCAGACAGGGAATTTGAGACACAGATTTGCCCAAGGCCACACACTGCATCAGTGGCAGAGCCGACACTAGAAACCCAGATCTCCTGACTCCCAGTTTGGTGCTTGCTCACTAGGTCACACTGGGCAGGAGGCAGTTTCTCTGATCTGTCTCATTCTGTCTATGCATTTGCCACACTGCTGTGAGCAGCTGATAAAACAGGTGGCTCAATGCATTCTCCAGAATCCTATCATTCAGACCCTGGTTTCTAACCGAGGGCACCAGTTGCTTCTGCAGGTGCAGGGCAAGAAGAGTCCCATTTCTAACAGGAAATACAAAACAGAAATAAGATCTCCAGTTACTATCTCTGATCCTCTCAGGGTTGAGGGCACTTCACTTCTGCTGAGCCAAGAAATGTATGATCGCTCATAAAAGAAGAGTACACTACCCACAGAGTGAGGCTCTGCTTCCATTTCTCTCCCTGCTTTTTATAGACCAAGGAGGGAGAAGGCTCCCAAATGGTGTAGGATTCCACGGCCAAACGGGAGGGGAAGGTAAGAGCCCTGCCCCAGAGGTGTGGAATCCCACAGCCCAGGATGCTGTCACCTAGAACGGATAAAAACAATCCGTTTCCCAAAAGGAGTGAGAGTAGCTGGAAAGGTTTAGAATCACGTCTCTTGAAACCAATTTGATGCTTTATGCTAACTCGGGTAGGCAACCTATGGCACGCGTGCCGAAGGCGGCACGCGAGCTGATTTTCAGTGGCACTCACACTGCCCGGGTCCTGGCCACCGGTCCAGGAGGCTCTGCATTTTAATTTAATTTTAAATGAAGCTTCTTAAACATTTTAAAAACCTTATTTACTTTACATACAACAATAGTTTAATTATATATTATAGACTTATAGAAAGAGACCTTATAAAAACTTTAAAATGTATTACTGGGACACGGAACCTTAAATTAGAGTGAATAAATGAAGACTCGGCACACCACTTATGAAAGGTTGCCGACCCCTGTGCTAACTGATTAACCACAGAGCAACTCAGCTCTTCTCTGTCCTTAGGAAGCAATTCCATATGAAATCCATATGCAGCCTTGCACGTATGCTGTTGCTTCCCATTACTTAGGTAACTATCAATTCACCCAGCAAAGGGTTAAGCCCCACCGTTGTCCGGCAGATTGAGAACTCTAGCTATAGGCCACATGGGGACAGAAATGACTGTTCTGTGAAAATTCCCTGCAGCCAGCACACCCTGGGCAGAGTAGGTGCCCCTACCCGACAGAAGTGCTCATGCAGCTTGGCTCTCAGGATGTACAGATCTGGGTTCTTTGAGTCTTGATCTAGCTCTTCATTGACAAGCCGAAAACAGTCATGGTATCTGTTCAGGGCTGCAAGACAGGCAATGCTAGAAAGAGAAAGAAAGGGCACCATAAAGTACCAGTGAAGAATACAGTTGTTAGGGGGGCTAAGATAAAGACATTCCCTATCGCAAACCCCAGTTTACCTCCTCCTGCGATAGAGTGAGTTGTCAGGCTGCAGCTCTGAGGCTCGAGTGAAGGACTCCAAAGCATCCCAATAGACCTCTTGGTCAAACAGACATTGGCCCTGTGGATTCAAATCACACAGCACAGAATCAGTCTGACTCAGGCCACCTGCCCATTGCTCCAGGTTAACGAGAGAGACAGACAGAGCGTTCTCTTTCTCTCTCTCTCCAACCAATCCAGGAACGGAAGTGCTGCTTAAGAGGAGATGCAGCTGCACTAAATACCACTCCCTCCTAGCTGGAGAGCACTAAGCATGCATGAACCCCAAATAGGACTTTTGGCTCTTCCTGTGCTGCAAATAAGTTAGCATGTTGAGAGGGGGCCCCAGCAGACTAGCCATGAATATGAACAGTAGAAACGTGAAACCTTTCAGAGAGGAAGGATTGGACAGAATCCCCTGTCCCCAAATATAAATATGCACAAAGGACTCTCCCTTGGAAATCCAAGATCATGTTGACTTCCACTTCAAGTAGCATCTCCAGATTTCCCTCAAGATCAGAGGTCGGTCACTAGACCCAGTGTTCTAATGCTGATACTGAGAGATCAAGGAAAGGCACGGGGTGGGGAAGGCTGGTGCCAGCTGGTAGTGGCTATTCTGTACCCTTCACCTGCAGGTAAATAATGAAGGCCATGCGCTCTACATATTCTTCCTTTGCAGAGGACAAGGAATACGCCTTTCTGAGGTTCAGCACAGCAGACTGGAAATCACAGAGCTGGAGAAAGGCTTCTGCCTTCTGTACATAGAACTCCACCTGCAAATGCACCCACAGACATTCTTCAGTCCTTTAGGATAACTTTCTTTCTTAGCCTGTTTATCCTCTATCTGGACACACTGAAACTAACCCTGAGACTCAACACCGCAAACCCGCCCAGACAGATTCTAATATATGCCAATATTCACCTCCCCAATGACATTCTTCCTTTGATAATCTTGGAAATGCAAGAGCATTACAGGCTTTGTCCTTCTTGCTGAAGGACTTCATATTCCCCTATGCCATGCGAGGTGGGCTTGTACCTTCACCTAACTATGCCTGCTCTGCATTCCCCCTTGCCTAATCATGATCCTCTTACCTGTTGGGGGTTCAGGTTAATGGCTTTGGAATAACAAATGACAACTTTCTCCCACTCGCCTTGGGAGAAGAACTCCTTCCCTCTCTGACAGCTGTAATGAGAAGACAGCATTATGAGCTAATGCAGAAGCACATTTCCCCTCCCTGCAGCACAGCCCTTAGGACAGTCACAGACCCATGGGAGTGCTGACTCAGTTTCCCCACCTGTAAACTGGAGATAATGATTCTATCTGCCAGGGTGTTACGAGGCTTAATTCATTATTTGTTAAGCACATAGAGAGCTTTGGGTGGAAGTAGGAGAAAAGAGGGTGACTGTCTACAAGCACACTAGCCAGTGTTCTGAGCCTTCTCAAGATCAAGAAGGGGAATTTGCAGGACCACAGCTCTGCTAATTGCCCAGCACTGGCCACTTATTGATTCTGCAGCAGACTCTGGTGACCCCACTGCCCATATGCTCAGGGAGAACGGATTCTGAAATGCAGGAACTGGGGACTACCAGTAGATACTAGTAATAGGATAAAGAGGCTATCATCTCTAGGTCACTAGTTCATAGCCTCCTCAGCTTGGTAGTCACTGAAGCCACCTGATGGTTGTTTGGTGGCCTCACCATATAGAGCTGAGAGTCTGTCATGGAGGTTAGAGGACCTATGATTTTCCTAGGTTTTATCCTTCTAAGATGGGCTATGGGTGACTGTCCCTGTTCTGCCTGTCCTGATGTGAGGAAATCCAGGGGCAATCAGCACAGTGAAACATCAGACAGTATTCCAACTGGCAGATGGCAGTTCAACTGCAGATAATCTGCCCTCACTTTCAGAAAATTACCTAGCATGACAACCATTTCTGGTGAAAATTCCCAGCTTAAGTTGCTAGGTCTCATTTCAGTTCAGAGAGGACAAGTAACACCATCACAGCAGGCTCTTACTGGGTCCTAGCTGGCAATCTCAACAGAGGGACCAAGGACCAAGCAGGCTGTTCAGCCTGACCTCCCTCTTGCCCACAGAAGGGAACCCTCCAGAGCAGGATTAGGGCACAATGGCTGGGCAGAGGAAGCTGCAGCCCATGCTGTACCTGTTCTGTGGATAAATCAGACACCAGTCCCCAGGACTGTCATTCCAGGACCTCGAACCAGCACTAAGTAAGGTTTCTTAAAAGTTTGGTTCCCAGCCTCCTTGCAGGACATAGACAAGGAAGCAGGTGTTTGTAACAGTGAAAATGTAAGAAGTGTCTGCTGGACACTCACTGCTCCTGTATCCTGTTCTGCACAATCGCTGTTGGGGACTTCACTCCGCTGGGGTCCTTAAGGTCTCGCAAAGTCTGGCTGGACCCAAAGATCTTTCGCAGGGATCTCTCCCGGAGATTCTCTTTGGACACAGCAGTCGGGAACAGTCCTTTAGTCTCTGTCTTCATCTCCAGTCCTACCTGCAGCGAGAGGGGCTAATTCCTCTCCACCACCCTGACAGGGTCTCTGCCCTTGGCCACCTCTCCACAGCTCTAGTCCCCAGTGACCTCTGACCTGTCTCAGCTCTCTCTGACCCCACCCCAGCTCTGCACCTGGCACTCTGCCCCCCCTCCCAGCTCCCTCTGCCCACCCACTCTGCATCAGTCACCCTCTGCCCCCACCCCTCTCAGCTCCCTCTACCCCCCAGCTCTGTGGCCTCTGACACCTAACCCAGGCAGCAGTGCTCACTTTGCTCTGCCCTGGCTCCTCCTGCGGGGCCGCCGCCGCCATCCCAGTGGTCGTGTCCCTCGTTGCTAGGCAGGCGGTATCCAGGCAGCTGGGGGCCGAGGGGGTGGGCCCAGAGTGAGAAGGCTCCGTGGCCAGGGCGGGATCCCTGCTGTGCTCACATGGCACCCTGTGAGCCTGGCCTGTGAGTAGGGTGACCAGATGTCCTGATTTTATAGGGACGGTCCCGATCGTTGGGTCTTTTTCTTATATAGGCTCCTATTACCCCCCACCCCATCCCGATTTTTCACACTTGCTGTCTGGTCACCCTACCTGGGAGGGAGGGCCAGGGCTTGCAACAGCCCCTCCCATGCTGAAGTCACTAACCTGGGTGATGGGCAAAATCCTGGTGTCCCATCGAACTGCAGCCAGCTAGGAAGGAGAGGCGGTGAACCTGCCCCTGAGCAGGTGGGCTTGTCTGATGGGGGTCAGGACTCCTGGGTTCCATTCCCAGCTCTGCCACTGACTCACCATGGGCTTGTGGGCACTTGTTTTCCACCAGCGCTGCTCCACTGGTGTCTGGAGCAGACCAGACTTTTGCAGTCACCCATGTTCTCTACCCTAGGGTGACCAGTCATCCCATTATTAGGGGCTTTGTCTTATATACGGAACTATAAACATCCCCTCCCTCCAAAAAAGAGTGTCCTGATTTTTTACACCTACTAGCTGGTCACCCTACTCTACCCCCTGGGATTCTGAGACGGATTAGATGACATGATGTTAAACGTACCGATAGCCGTCAGGAGTCTGGTTCCACTGCCAATGCAAACATTTGAAAAATCACAAGACACGCCCCAAATTATGAAACTGGTTTAAAAATTAGGAGATTTTAACACTAATATATTTGGGATTCTTTGCACTTGCCTTCTGGTTTGGGGACATTTAGAGGTCAAGTTTTCAAGCTTTTCTCCCCAGCCTGAGGGCTATAAAGTTACTCCTTTTTCAATTACATTATCAGGAAATAACCTGAGTCTAGCACTTGGGGCTTTAAGATAAACACCAAAAATCATAGCACAAGAAAATCAGAAGAGTTGCCAACTCTGAATCTTGTCTACACTAGTGCTTCCACCAACAGTGGAACTATTGTAATGGTGGCTGTATAAGTACCTTAGATAAATAGATGGCAGGTGATGGGCCATTTAGACTAGTTCTATGTCTACAGAAACCTGTTATCTCTATAATTTTCCTCCATTGCTACCACCAGAGCAGCTGTTACCAGTGGTAACAGTACATTGCACTAGTTGTAAGGGATTTCCAGGGTAGCTTTGTTAGTAACAGAGTGATCAGAGTTCAAGGATTTTTATCCTCTAATAATACTTTGTGTTTCTCTAGCACCTTCCATCCAAGGATCTCAAAATGGGTGCAGATGTGGTTATGGCAAACGACTGAGATTCCTAGGTTCTACTCCTGGTTTTGCCACAGACTTTTGGGGTAACCTTGGGCAAGTCATTTAATCTCTCTGTGATTCATTTTACCAGCTGAAGCAGGAGAATAATTTCCTACGACAATAGGTTTGGGAGTTCATTTCTTAAATATATGTGAAGTATTTTAAGATGCTTGGTTGAAAAGAAGGGAAGTTCCATTAAAAAAAAATATTACTATGAATTAAACCTCACTTTACTCCTTTACATCTGTATTAACCCCATGTTATAGAAACCGAAACACAAAGGAATGTTACCAAAACAATAGAACCCAGCAGTCCTGACTCTTAGATTCCAGCTCCATATTACCTCTGTATGTTCAACAGCCATGTGGACCTGGGTTTAAAGCTGCCATTTACATCTATGATCCAAATGGGTAAAATAATTTGAGAAGGGAATCCCATAATGTGGATCATTACAACGTGATGTTCATCCCATAATAGCAATGGAACTTTTTTCTTGCCCAAATGTCAACTGAGGGAGACTTTTCTGAGGCATCCTTGTCCAGTACTAGCGCCATGGAGCGTGACTGATATTGTGATACACGGCCCTCATCAGCTACAAATGCATGAAAGCTGATTACATCATGGGACAGACAGGTCAAGGAGGGTTGGTCTGACCTGCCAGCTTTGATGCAGCCTCCAGGCATGAATCCTGTGCCTGGTAGCTCAGCCAACAAGCAAGCAGTTGAAGGAGCTTGGTGCGTTACATAAGTCACCAGCTCTTCCAGTCTGATAAAGGGACCAGCAAAGATTAAACGAAAGGGTCCTCATATCTGGTCAACCTATCAGAAAGGAAACCAAGGGCAGCCGGCTTACAGTGGGCGAGCACTTCCGCCCACAAGGAAGATGGCCACGTCTGCAGACCACGTGACCTGCGCCCTTCCTGCATCATAATCAAAATGGCATCGCCCATCAAACCACGTGGTGTGAATCCCTTCTGCCCGCAAACAAGATGGCACTGCCACGTGGTAGGGTGCGGTCTTTGTGATTGGTCGCAGTGGGCGTGACGCTGTAGAAGCGGAGAGGCTGCTCCTAAGGGGTGCTTGTGGCCTCAGCGGCGCCCAGTCGGCCGCTCGGCTGGGGCAAAGCGGGGGATGCTGCGGCGGCTGCCCAAGCGCCTCGGGAGGTTACTGAGCCGCACCATGAGCCACCGCGAGGCCGATCCGCGCGCCGCCGGGAACCGGGTCCTGGTAGAGAGTGGGCGGAGGGAACACTTCCGGGGTCACCGGGGGAGAGAGCAGGCGCGGGAGGAGGGATCACTTCCTGGTCACGGGGGGATGGGGTCAAGGGAAGGCAGCAGGTCCCGTGGGGGAGCCAGGAGCGGGGGGCGCCAGGGAAACGGGGCCTGGGCCCCTGGGGAGCTGGGCCTGGGGTGCAGACACCCCCCCCAACATGCTGTAGAAACTCCACGGCCCACCTGTGCCACAACAACTGTTTTTCTCCATATAAAATCTGAGCTGGCATTAAGGGGAGGAAGCAGGGCAGTTGCCTGGGGCCCACGGCATAAAGGGCACCATGAAACTTACGTTGTCAGGCTTCAGCCCCAGGTGTTGGAGCTCGGGGCCCCGGGCTGCAGTCCTGCATGGTGGGGCTTCAGCTTTCTGCCCTGGGCCCTAGCGAGTCTAATGCCAGCCATGCTTGGCGGACCCCCTGAAACCAGCTCGCAGCCTCCCAGGGGGCCCCGGACCCCTGGTTGAGAACTATTGTGCTGGAGGATGTCAGCACGGCCCATGGACCAAACCAGCCCCTTAAGTTCCCCAAGCTGCAGGAGAAATAGCTCTGGGCATCGCTAGCCCGTGGGCGTGCTGGCTGCTTGCTGGAAGGCTGGTTTTCTATTCCACATACTGTCCCTTGTTGAAATGGAGAAAGTACACTCAGATCTGAAGTGTCGTGAAGCACCCAGTAGGCTCTATGCTGGGGGGGAGCATCAGTGCACAGGTCCCAAGATTGTACCGATTTGCAGACAGCAGTTTCAGATGTGTGACCCCATGTGCCAACTCGCTGCATCTATTTGCATATAGATACACACCTTTAATTCTAAAACCATGATTCAGAACTGTATTTGAGTGGAACAAAATAGAAGTTAACAAATAGCATAATCCAGTCATAAATTCTCCAGCCTCTTTGTGACTCTATAGACTATGTACTTTGTAGGAGCAATCCCATCTCTTGAACCTTTGACCCTTATATGACTAATGAGAACATTCACAGTGACATTGGATAAGATAAAATATGCAAGGGGAATGACAATTCAAGGCCAAAGCCAACGTTTGACAGATTAAGAAGAAATTTCCCCCATGATCAGGTTATTTTCTAGTTGCCCACTATTACAAGGACCTTGATGTCTTATTCTGAAGTATGGGGTATGAGCCCCATAAGCAGCAGTATACTGATCAAGAGGGACCACAGGTCTGATCTGTTTTGGCAATTTTTATGTTCCCTCCCAGCTGTCCCACAATACACATGCTACTTGGTTCCCAAAATAGTTTATTTTGCTGCCCACCACAAAGGGTTCCATGGATGATAGATTCACAACCAATGTTCTAATAAACTAATAATGAACAGAAAACAAACAAGACTCAGGCCTGCTACCCCATACTTCAATCTATATCTCCTGGTAATCTTTATACCTCTCCCTTTTACAACTGCATTAACCTTTGCAAATGTCTCATAGTCAAATGTGATAGTGTCACTATCCAATGTCATAGTGTATGGAAGTGCACCATACTTGCCTCTCCAACTACCACCCCTTCTCTCTTTCATCTCTCAACTCATTGAATGCGCTGTTTACAGTTCCTCCCCTCCAATCCAGTCCCAGATCCTCTCCAATCCAGCTTCTGTACCTTGCACTCCACTGAAACTACTCTCACCAAAGTCTTTAATGACCTCTATCTAGCCGAAGGTCCGAACCAGTACTGCAACCTCATTGACCTGTCATCCGCCTGTCAGCCAGGATGTTGGAATCTTCTCCTCCCATGGCTTGTCTGACTCCATCCACTCCTGGTTCTCCTCCTTGATCTGTAATTGCTCCTTCAGTGTGTCCTTTGGAGGATCTTCCTCAACCCTCACTCCTTCTGTGGGTGTCCTTGGTTCCCTTCTCATCTCTGGGTAATCTCATCTGTGAACACAAATTTAGCTACCAGCTCTATGCTGAGGACTCCCAGATCTACTTTTCTACTCCAGACGGGACCAGACCTGTCTTCTTCTGTCCAAACTAAAATCTCATCCTGACTCGGACATCTGGTGGATATCCAGCTCAAGCTCAACATGGCTAAACAGAGCTCTGAATCTTTCCCCACGAGCCCTCCCCACCATCTCCTTTCTTGATCACGGTGGACACTACCACCATCCTGACTGTCACTTAGGTCCATAACCCAGGTGCCATCTTTGACTCTGACCTCTCAGTCCTCACATCCAGGCTGTCTAAGTCTTGCCAATTCTTTCTGCATAACATCTCTCATACATAGCCTTTCCTATCCATCCACACACATAAAACTGGTGTCCAGGCTTTCATCATTGCATTTAAATTACTGCAATATCCTTCTCTCTGGCTTTGACAAATGCAGTCTTGCCCCGCTCATAACTGTTCAGAATGCTGCTGCAAAGATCATTTTCTTAGTCCGTCACTTTGACTACGTCACTCCTGGCTTTGAATCTTCCCGTTCTCTATCTCTTCAAATATAAGCTGCTCGTCTTCACTTTCAAGGCCCTTCATGGCCTATCCTCTCTCCTTCACTATGGAGATGTTGACTCCCACCTCGGATCAGCTCATGGTGCCAGCCTATCGCCCGCTTTCTCCTATGCTGTGCCACACGCTTAGGAGACGCCCCCGATAAGCATCCACAAAGCTACCTCATTATCCACATGCAAATCCCTCCTTAAATCTTTCCTTTTCCTTGATGCCTAAAAAATACTTGATATCATCTCATTGTTCTCTTGTACTCTACCCATCTGACTGTATCATCGGTTTGTGAACTCTTTGGGACAGGGACTTGTTTGCACAGCACCTAGCACAATGGGATCTTGGTCCTTCCCTAGGGCCCCTCGGCACTACAGTCAGACAAGTAATAAATGTTGCCATTTCTCCTTGAAAATGATCTTATGACACTGTGTCAACGTACTGTGATTTCACAGCTGGAACTCACCTTCTTTGGATTATGCTCTTTGCTCTGCCAACTGCAGTTACCTAAGGGACTTTGTCTCCCCCACGTACGGATAAGAAATCACAGGACAGATACGGCTCTTAGTCATCCTATGGCTTCTTATTCCTGGAGACGGGAGGTACAGCTGGAATGAGTGGGGGGACAGGGATCACCTAGGTCACTAAGCTCATTTTGAGCATCTCACTCAATCTCAGCACTAAATCCATCTCAGTTCTGTTTAACAAGAGAGGGACAGGCCCTTGTACCTACAGAGTCTGGCCCTACAGTAATCAACAATGGTGATTGTCTTGCTACTTCTGAAGGGAAGCAGCTGGTTTTGCTGGGTGAATTTCCTGCCCTGGTGGTGAAAGGAGCAGGGCTGCAGGGAGGGCAAATTTGATCCTCACTACACCACAAGGGCTGGCTCCAGTGACTCTGGTTGGTTGGATGCTGATGTAGAGAGAGTCCCGGTAACACCTGTTGCTGGTCCTCTTTGCAGGTGGCAGGGCTGGGGAATTATGGGCTCCGAGGAACCCGACATAACGTGGGAATGGCGGTGCTCAATCAGCTGGCCCAGAAGTTGAACGTCGCTGACCAGTGGAAAGCGGACAGACGCTGCTGTGCAGACGTGACCATCACTAATGTGGAGGAAGCAGAGCTGGTGCTGATGAAACCTCGGCGGCTCATGAATATCAATGGACTCAGTGTAGCAAGCGCTGGTGAGTGACTCCGAACACTTCCAATAGCCAGCTGAGCAACACACACAACTCTAGCCCTCCAGGGACCTTTGTGCTTCACCTTTCATCTTCTTAACCCCAGGGGACCACTCAGGACTGTAAGCAACAAGTCTGAAATACCTGCCCTGGAACTACAGGGCCCGCCCCTGCCAGGGTCCGTCTCCTTTTTCTTTTCCATGGAGACAACGATGTAACAACTCGGAGGCCTCTTAGGACTTCCTTGTTGTTCCATGGCCATTCAGGCAGCATGACAATAAGAGTAGACCAAGCTCAAGAAACTCTCGCTTGAGCTAAAGGAGAATAGCCATTTCCAGTATAGGGCTTATGACACACAGTTGACCATATCTGGTTCTGTCCAGTAGAGGGCGGTGCACACACACTCTCCTAAACCCATTACTAATTTTTCACACCACCCTTGGGAGGTGGAGAAGATTAACTGAGTTCCATGCAATTTGCCATTTTGGCATCTCTAGGAAAAAACAGGTGGCAGGGTTCGGAACCAAGGTCCTGAGGGCTCTGCATGGACATCAGAAATCCCAGGGCAGTTTTCAGAACAGTCAGGCTTTTCCCTGGCGTGCTGGGCTATGAGTTCCGCTCCTCACACTGTTGCATAGCCTGCTGCAAGCTAGTTGGCTACGACCTTCCAGTCCGCTGTGTTTCAGTGGTGTGGACTGTAAAGTACTTTTGGCCAAAAGACAATCGCGGCGTAGAGCAGTATCATGTGGTGCAGACATCAGACAGCTCCAGTGACAGCGTGTGCAGCTCGTTTGCCAGCATGGCTGATAGTGCATTCCTGAGGTTAGAAGTTCTCTTAGCCTGCTATGCACTTCCTGCTCTCCACGTCCCCTGTCATTTTTTTCCACTGACGCCTGCAGTGTCCTTCTTTAGGTCCTCGAGGCTGTGGGATGGTGACAGATGGATTTAATTTCCCCTCACTTCTTGTGCGTTGTTTCTTTCTCAAGCTGAAACTTACGACCTCGGGGTAGAAGACATTTACCTGGTTCACGACGACCTGGACAAGCCGCTGGGGAAGATGGCGATAAAGCTGGGAGGCAGCGCAAGGTACGAAGGGAAAGCCCCTGTGGAAAATGACCTTGAAAGATTTGATTGAGCTGCATCTTTGTGCGTTTTAACAGGGGCATTTGGGGCTGTGACTGTCCCATCTCCACCCCCAGGACTGCAGAGGTGGCAGCAGATCGGTGGCAGAATCTTTCTAAGCCGTGGTCACTTCTGTAGTGCTTTACAAGCTTTAACTGACATCGGTTTACTCTGCTGTCTGCCCAACCTCCTGCAGTTTCCAGTTCAAAGCACCAGTTAAACCAGAGATATTTCAGTACATTGGGATGGCCTCAAATTGTGGGCTCTGGCACTAGGTGTGCAGGAAACAACTGGTGCCCAGGCTGCTGTGATAAAATACAGCAGTGACTGTCCAGAGTGGTGTTAGGCAACCTCCCTGAGTCACACGTATCCTAACGTAATTGACACTTGAGACCTAACAGAACCAAGACCTGTGTTTGTGGTGACAGTGACATTTGATTGAAGAGCGACCTTTCTGAATTAAGTATCAGAGGGATAGCCGTGTTAGTCTGGATCTGTAAAAAGCAACAGAGAGTCCTGACGAAATGGGTATTCACCCAGGAAAGCTTGTGCTCCAGTACATCTGTTAGTCTTAAAGGTGCCACAGGACTCTCTGTTGCTTTCTGAATCAGTTATATTAGCCACACACTTTTCCCTGGGGGGGGTCTCCCCTCTTATTACCACATGTTCCATACCTGGCTGTGTTCAGGCCTGCCCAGTGCAGACAGCATGTGCAGTGTATACGCCCTTCTCCAGCAGTTGAAAGCATTGGGTGCCAGAGCCCCTGCTGGGGAGTTCGGTGCAGGGCAAGGGACGCTCTGTATCTGCACAGCCATATCCCTAGCCGAGCACCCTCTTTGGCAATCCCTGTGGCAGTGGGTCACCCAGGGGGTTTGGCCCAGATCAGAGGCTGCTGCATATAAATGAGGCCTGCTCTGAGTATGGGACTGGGAATCATGAGCTCCTCTCTGACACCGATTGCCCCTCTGGCCATGGGCATATCACTTAGGGTCTGATTTTTCAGAAGCGCTGAGCACCCAGAACTCCAGGTGCAGTCACTGGGAGCTGCTGGTGCTCAGCAGGCTGCACGACAAGGCAAGCCTGCCTGGGGCCTCCTCTGCACAACTTTGCATCAGTTTCCCAGTGTGGATACTCAGATGTTGCTTTGAGTGACTTGCGCTTTAGTCTAAACCGGAATAAGCTAAACCGTCCTAGGCTGCTCTTACACTGAAATCCAAGTGTCCGCGTGGGCTTTGCACCAGCTTAACTAAATTAGGGTAATGGCTCACCTCTCGTTAAATCAGTGCAACTCTGCGTAAACAAGCCCAGGGCCTGGGTCTTATGTAAAGGGGGATAACAGTGCGTCCCTGCTGGCCCCAGGCTTGGGAGCAGTTACTGTTCGTACAGAGCAAAGAGGAGGGAGAGTTTAGTGTGAATCCCATGGATGATCCCTCTGGGGTTCTCACCTACTCTGACGGCTGGTTTGTCTTGCTTTCTTTAGGGGGCATAACGGGGTCCGTTCCTGCATCAGCTCCCTGCACTCAGACGTAAGTCGGCCTTGCAGGGTGAAGAGCTCTATCATGCACACATCTTAGCAGTGCATATGTAAAGCACCATCTCTCCCCAGCCCCAGAGCCCCCTGGGAGCCACCCCCAAGGCCTTAGCCTCCCCTTATGTTTGTGTTAGCAGACTTGGCCCTTCATCCCCCGCTCCCAGCCCAGCCCTTCTCACACGAGTCTTGTTTCTGACTTGTCCATGAGCCCGAACGTGGAAGCAATTACCTAAAGTGGAACCACATGGCCTGGCTGGGAGCTCAGCCCACCAACTTAACTGCGTTTGTTGGACGAAACTCTTTCCAAGCTCATGTTAGCTGGAGCCCAGCCTGAACCCAGGGAGACAAAGGAACAGAGCGGGACACAAGCCCAGCTCCCCCACTGCTGCTGATCTCTGCCGTGTGGGGCTCGGGGCTCTAGTGAAGCACTTAGGGTTCCCTTTCACCCCACAGGCTCCCCCTTTGACTGGTCCCTGGCTAACCAGGGTCTCAAAGCTCCCCTGCCCTCCAGCCCCACATCAGAGCCTCCAGTATCAGCTTTGGCTCCAGGCTGTGCCAAGCATGTTTAGCACTTTGTAGCGACTGCCACGGTGTCCCGAGAGCCCAGCTCGGGTGAATGCAGGCACCAGGAGCAGGTGGCGAGGGGGAGATTACACACAGCATCCCCTTCTCTCCCTGCAGTGCATGGTGCGGCTCAGGGTTGGCATCGGCCGGCCGGTGGGGGAAGCCATGGTGGATCGCTACGTGCTGGGCCGGTTCACCAGCGCTGAGCACGAGGTCCTGCAGCGCGTCCTGGAGCAGGCGGCCGACCTCCTGCTGGAACACATCCTGCAGAGGAGCAGCGGCAAGGACCACACGCCCCCTGGCGACACGGGGGACAGGACACCTCATTAACCCCAGGAGCTGGGGGCAGTTTTTATGAATATGGTGCCGACGGAAAGCAGTGGTCCTGGACTCCTTCATGGGCCTCTGGGCACAGCTGCCGAGGCGGGCTGGGGGAGCTAAGCAGAGAGCACTGACCCCACAAGCTGTGCTGTGCGGGGGCAGGTGCCAAGGGAAGCTCCTGGCAATGAAACTGGTGGGGGAGGTGGCGGACTGCCAGGGAGGTGCTATTCCTGCACCCCCCCCCACATCAGGTGACAGGCTTCTCCCAACCCCATTAGCGCTGGCAAAGGCAGCCCGGTAGATGGCCTGGCTCCACATGGCCAAGTGCCCGCGCCTGGCACTGCAGCGCCATGGGGAGTAAGGAGGAGCCCGAGAGAGACTCCACCCCAGACCCCAGCTGGAGGCTTGTCGTGGTCAGGGGCGCCTGCCTCCTTGCCCAGCTTGGGACCACTCTGTCCCAGCAGCACCTTGTCCCTGCCCCTGCAGGACAGGTCTGGGACTTGGTGTCCGTCCTTGGTCCCCAGCCAGGCATCTCAGTAACTCCATAGGTTTTATAGGGCAGTTTTGCATAGACTGTACAATAAACCCAGGCGCCCAGTCTGCACACGCTTTGCCATCTACGTTCAGTCCCTCTCCTTTGCGCAGGTGCTGGGGGCAGGGGAGGGAGCAATCGGCTGGCAGAAAGGGGTGCTCCCTCCCTCCCAGCGTTTCCCTATTTGGTCAGCAGGCCCTGCAAGGAGCGTCTGGCCGCTATCTCTGGCAGGGGCAGAATCGGCTGCTGCTTCACCCGTTTCTCCTCCGACCAGGAAGTCATCAGTGGCTGTTGGGAAACGGGCAGTGATTCAAACACTGTCACGCCGGTCGGTCACTCCATCCCTCTCTGGGGCAGGGCAGGGCAGGCCAATGCCTCTGGCGCTTGGATACGCTTCCCCTGACCCTGTGGGTCCATGGAGGGAACCATTAGGAGCAGGGACAAGGGGCTGGGTGGGAGTCAGTCTTGGTGCTCACCTCAATCCTCAGCCTCTCTGCTGAGCCTGCCCAGCCCTCCCTGGGCGACTCGCTTTCTAACCTCCCAGGATACCCCTGCCCTGAAGCCAGCCGTGCCCCAGTGGCCCGAGCCCCCCTCACCTCCGTGGTGCTGGCGTAAGTGCGGACAGTCCCGATGCGGGTGGTCTTGGACAGCAGACCCGTCTTGCTCATGCTGTGGAAGAGCTGCGCCCCCTGCCCCCGCTGCACTAGCAAGTGGTGCGAGATGGCGGGAGAGGTCTTGAGGCACGGGGCTGGGTGCAGCTGGCTGGAGTGGAGGAGAAAGGGGCTGGGTTAGACCACGCGACATGGGGGGGATGCCACAGCCCAGGATTTGACCTGCTGCCCTGAAGGCAGAGACTAGAACGGCATTGGCAGGAAGATACTGCAGAAGGTGGGAAGTAGAGCAAGGGTAGGGTGCCTCCTAGGGTGAGCCTCCCCAGCTCAGACTTAGCCAGGACAGGCGCTGGAGGCAACTGTGCACAGCAGTCGCCAGAGAGGATCAGCCAGATTTGGGGGGGGGGGGGGGGGGGCAAGCAGACAATCAGAGACCAGAGTGGAGAACTGCACGCTCAAGGGATCAGCAAGGAGAGCGAGTTGGAGCCGATGCGGGTGGGAGGTCGCAGCCGTCAGATTGCTGGTGGGTGGCCTGTGGGGAATGAGCTAAAGGTGACCTCTGAGGGTCTCATCTGCCATGCGTCCCCTGGAGGGCTCTAGGAGAAGTCGGGGGAGATGGGAGTCATGACATCACAGGAGCAGGGAGGCAGGTTTTATGACCTCGCAGAGTTGGAAGGCGGAAACGCAACCACGTGTCACACAGGACTATAGGGGCCAAAAAGGTACAACCCCATTTCTCTCCCCTTTGCCTCTGGGGGTCTGGCCTGGCCTCCAGCTGGGACCTGCCTCTCTTGGGTGCGAAGAGATGCTGGGGTAGGGGCTGCATGGGGAGTGGGGCTATTCCCTGCATTTCCTACTTGCCTCTGTGCTGGGGACTCCAGTCCACGCTCCCTGTTGGCTGTTTTCTGGGGCCCGAACACCTGCTCCTGAGGCGCGGGCCCAGCCGTGGTCGCCCGCCTCAGCAGCCCCAGCAGGCTCCGCAGCATCTCCTGGTGGCGCAGCTGGAACATCATGTCAAAGTCGCCATCCTCCTCATCAGACGGCCTCTCCTGTGGGGCGATGAAGCGGGGGAGGTGAACCGAGGGGAGGGGAAACGGCACTGCAGCTCCTGCTCCCCCCCTCCATGACTTGAAAGCACAGGGGTTGGACCTCCACTGTAGGCAGAGGAAGCCCCACAGCTCAGTCTCCACTACCATCGCCCTGGCTCCCGCATTCGGAGTGCACCCAGAACCTGGCAGCTCCAGTAGGTGAGGGAAGTGCCCATCTAACAAAGGATCAGGCCCCACGGCCGTTCAGAACAGCGGGCAGGGAGCTGGAGCCGGTGGGGGTTGGGCTGGTTGTTGCCAGTCTTTAGTGGGGTTCCCCGGAACAGTAGCCCAGCATCTCTTGGCTCTTCCCCACCGACTCCACCTCCTCCCAGCTGGAGGCCTCCTGTCCCCCAGCACAGGACATGTCGTCGGATCCTCACTCAGATGCAGCCAGGGGTTCAGTAAGAGCCTCAGCGCTTGGCATAACGGGAGGATTTCTAGTCCCCACCTGCAATAAACACCATGTACATGCTGGGTTAGGGCGTCTGCCCCAGCAGCCTGCAGCATGGACCCATCCTCCCCCATGACTACCCTCCAACTGGATGCCACAGTCTAGCACCCCCTATAGGGGAGAAGGGAAATTACAGAGAGTCCAGCCAATGTAGCTCTGACACATTCTGGTTTGGTGGCAAAATAAAGAGCCGGAAACAGCTGCCACAGAAGATTCAGTGCCAAGGTCCGGGGTGGGTGTTTGTACAGAGCAAGATGCTGGTGGCTCAGATCTGAAAGAGTCCAGGGCTCTGGGTGTGGTCGGGGCAGACCCCTCACGAGGCACGGCACATGTGCCATGACGTCTCACCACAATGTGTGCTTGGAGGCACAACACCATGGTGAGGCCATTGTGCTCTCCCAGACTATCACAGCATCTACCTTAAGTGACACAGCATCCCCGAATGGATGTAAAATTCATTCCTATTAATGTCAAGTCTTCCCTAATTGACACAACATCCTCATTGCCTGATGCAAAATCAATTCCAGCCAAGTCAACACAGCACCATGACGTGAAACCCCAGATAGTTCAGGACTCTGGAATTGTCCCATGAGCCAGCCTCTCACGATAGGGACTAAGCCAAGGACAAGGGCAGCAGATGGTCCAGTGGTTAGGGGGCCAACCTGGGTGTCTAGAGGCCTGGGTTCAATTCCTAGCTCCACCGCAGACTTCCTGTGTGAGCTTGAGCATGTCATGTACAAGGGGGATGGTAGCACTGCTCTGCCTCACTGGAGTGTGGTGGGGGGGGATATTACCCAGGTCCTACTAATGGGGGCCATATAAGTACCCAAGATAAACAGATACGGCTCAAGAGCTCTCAGTCAGGGGCGTCTAACTCTCCTTAGCAGGATTGTGGGCAAGCTCCTTTATCCTACAAGAGCTCATGAGTTTCCCAACAGTTTGCTGCCTGTACCTGTGTTACCCAGTTCTTAATGGAACCGCTTTGCTCTCTACAGACTCTCCTTGGAAAGAGCTCTGAGCGCCTTGAAACACTAATAGCCCAAGCCTCATAGCTGCCCATGGAGTAGGTCAGTATAATCATCTCCATTTTACACTTGGGGAAACCGAGGTACAGAGCAGCAACGTGCCTTGCGCAATGTCCCACAGCGACGTAGTGGTAGAGCTGGGAATAGAACCCAGGAGTCCTGGTTCGCAGGCTCCTGCAGACAATATTGCTCCCTTTCTAATTCTCAAGTCTTTCCTAACCTTTGACCTCTGTGATCCCAGTGGTCTTATGTCCATTGGTGCGTCTGTTCTATTCTAGCTTTTGGGCGCAAACCAAGGAAATGTCGCCATCTCAGGAGCACGCTGGGCTCTGGCCTGTTTAATGCCAAGCAGCCACCAGAACACGTTCACCCCAATCCCCGAGACTGTGTGAATCTCACCTGCAGCAGGTCCTTAAGGGCTTGGACAGCCTGGTTCAGGATCCTCTCTGCATTCTTCCTGAGCTTCTGCTCTTCCTCCAGGAGCTTGGCCTGACTCTGCCCTTCGACCATCTTCCTCCTCACCTCCTCCTTCAGCTCCTTCAGCTCTTGTCTGCAGGGAGGAAGCCAGACAAGAACAGCCAGGGGTGAAACACCAAACAGCCACTTCACCTGGGGGTGCTTGGAGTGCAGGTGCTCTAGGGGAAGTGCTCATCCCCTTCAGCAGGCCCCAGAGAGCTGTGTGCGCATTCGCATGCACTTGTCTAAATCAGGTTTCCCAGAGAGGTCTGTCTGTCTGTTCATCCAAGTCAGGTCCCCAGGCATGTATGTGTCTGTTTGTCTGATTGGCCAAGTCAGGTCCCCAGGGAGATGTGTGCACGTGTCTGTCTGTCTAGCCATCCAAGCCAAGATCCCAGGGAGACGTATGTCTCTGTCTCTGTCCGCCTTCCTGTCTGTCTACCAGGGAGATACGTGAGCACGGGTGGGTGTTTCTAAATCTGGTCTCCATGGAGATGTGTGTCTAAGTCAGGTCCCCAGAGAGGCTGAGGTGGGCTAAGCCCCCTCTGCACATCTATGGAAGCAAGGTCTCCTAGAGAGTTTACTTTCCAAGAGTTACACCCCCTGGGAAGTGCCTGGGAACACCTTTTGGGGACCTCTGTGCAGGATCAGGCGCAGCAGCTCTTCTGGAGGGGTGGGGGGACATGACAGAGCCTTGCTGAGTCTGTCAGGGGGTTGAGCAGGTTTAGGTGACACAGACACATTCAGGGGAAGTCTTCCCTAGTCTCTCCCATCCAAAGGGCTCCAAGTGCTGTACAGACACTGCTTTGTTAAATGTCACAAGGGCCCTGTGAAGCAGGTGATATACAGGGACCACTTCCCTCAGCACTTAAATGCAGCCACCTCTAGGGTGGAAAGTGGCAACTATTTAAAAACGCACCACAACACTGCATGGCAGTTTAGGTCAGGAAGTGAAGAAGAATCTCCGGTCGAATTGCAATTGCGGAGGGCATTGAGCCAGGATACCTCAGTTAACACAACTCTTCCAAGTTCCCACTCTGTGGGGTTAATGGGCACAAGGGATCAGGACTAGACCTGGTCAAAACATTTCCCACAGCACAGTTCTCCATCGAAAAAAGCACTGTCGTCAAAATCAAAATGGGTCGATTTCAACAACATTTTCAATGGGAAAAAGTCCAAATGAATCCCATTGACTTTCCTGTTGCATTTTGAAAAGGCAAAATGTTTCCTTTTGGCTTCCTCATTTTGATTAATTTCATGTAGACATCCTAAAACATTAAATGTCTACTCAACTCTATACTGTGTTAAATGCCTAATATTAAAACACTAATATTTTAATAGAACATGAATGTTTACATTCAGTGAATCAAAGTGAGAAAGTCAAAACTGAAATGTTTGACCTTATTGAAACAAAATGATTCAACATTATCAGAATGAAATATGTTCGCAGCCCCAAGTAGACGCCGATTGGAATTTTTGTTTTGTTACAAATTTCAATTTTTTTAATTCAGAACAAACCCTGTTTTCGAAATGTGGGAATTTCCCGTGGAACTGAGCTTCCAGGCCCCTGCCCGCTGGAGTCAGGCTCTGCATTGTGCGTGGCCTGGAAGAGCTGGCAGTACAGCACCACCCTGAGCTTGCCGTTCCA